AAATTGCCTCCAAAGCTGTTTGGGAGCTAAATTGAAAGTTGTAATCACGTTTAGAGCATTTGGAGGTAAGTGTGAGGGTTAGGGTTTATGTTTTTCCATCCTTTCTCGGTTCTTTCCGGTTTCTCATGAATTTTCTCCATGTATTTAGGCCGAGATACTGCGTGGGATACATTTTCTAACGTTAAATTGTATTGGGTCTTCGATTTAAGGTAAGGGAGACTCTACCTTATCTCTTGTGTTTTAAATTTCGTTTATAATGCTATGCAATGGATTTTGATTGAGATAGAACGTAGAAAATGTGTGTATTGATGGAAACTTTGTGCTAGTTATGATGCGGTAGACATTGGATAATGTGTGTGTGATGAAATGACCTTATTTGTCATGAGATGGTGATGGATGTTGAATAGTGCTTATAGTGGAATGCATTGTTTGGTATGGATTGTGATGGAAAATATTATATGTTTGAATACAATGTGATTGATATTGAATAATGTGAAATGGTTGAATATGTATGGAAATGGCATGTTGATGTTGATTGTGATTGTGGTTGAATATGTTGAAAAGTTATGAATGGTCCAGCGATATACTAGAGATGTGGAAGATGGGGGCGGTAGAGATACCTTAGGGAAGAGAGGGTAGTGGTGACACCAATAGTGAGCATGAGTGCACCACAGGCCACACACTTTTCTCCTGACTTGGCCTCTGATTAACACTTTGCTAAGGGACCCGTGATCGTACACATTGTATCCGTGAGGCGAAGGTTATCCGACAACCATCCATGGTGTTAATTAAGTAAGTACCTGAGGTTGAGAGCATTAGGAATCTATGATCACAGTGCCACAGTGAGTGTGGCTACATGCAGTGAACGCACGTGTGTGTGAAATATTTGTTAGTGCAATGAACACACTTGTCTGTGAATTGAAATAGAATATTTGAGAAGTGTTACTTGTGCTTGTTGATGCTTGATTTGAGTTATGCTAGAAAATATGTGGAGTGTGCAAGGTGAGACTCTATGCTTGTTTGTATGTGTGCGATAATGTAGAGTACTCACTCTTACATTTATTTTTCAAGTGACCAAGACAATCAGTACCGGACTCATTGAAGAGATGGATTGAACTATTATAGAACTTAGAATATTATTTTGAAATATGATGTATTTGAATTGGTCCTATAGCAGTCATTTGATATAAACTTGTAATCCTTTCCTTTATTTTGAAATACTTTGATGAAACCATGTCTTGTGAATTGTTTAAATGAAAATTCTTGTTATTCTCATTTTGCAAAATTTATTTATTTGAAAATAAAATTAAGGCATTACATCTCTCACCTTTTTTTCTAAGAGAAAACTCTTTTGAACTCTGAATCTCTTCCAGATTTGAACTCAAACGTCTATTCCATCCAAATCCAAGTAAGTTTCTTAGAGCTTGGTTCTTTAACTTCATTCCTATTTCTCAGTTTTCTCTGATCTAAAGTTTTATGCTTTGTGATACTTAAGGAAACCTTAACCCTTAAGACAATATCTTCCATCGGGATGTTGTAACTTTTCCTTGGATCTCTAGGAAAACTCGGTCTGAGAGACCTATTTCCAAGTAAAGGGAATTGATCCTAAACCCTAACTCCTTTTTGGTATTTTGGTTTGAAAATGCTAAGTTTTTTTTTTATTAGAACCCTAGAATACTAATGTTTTCTTAAAATCTCAAGTGTAGGAATAGAGATTTTTGACATGAAAAACCCATGATTATTTTCAAATCTAGCTAAATACAATTTGTAGCAAAAGCTCTTCATAGAACCATTTTGAGAACTATTATGATTTTACTAGGGAACATTATTTAGAGATAGTTAAAATTGTTATTTGATATTTTCAAATAATAGATATACTATGAATATTGGATGATGCCAAATTTTAAGATAAACAACTTTATTAATATCAAGAAAGTGTATATATTGAATTGTATGATTGGTCTGAGTCCGAAGGTGTCCAACTTTTGGCACATTGTATTGATATGTGTGGTATGAAATTGTTTGATAATTTTTGTGTTAGACTGATATGATACAATAAATATGAATGTTTGTCTGATGGATGATGTATGTTGAAACAAATGAATTTATGTTATTGATGAAAAGTGAATAATATGACATGATTGTGGAATTGAGAGATATGATTATAATACGTGAGCTATACCAGATTGATGGATGTGATTATGATATAGGTATTGTGATACATCGAATGATGTACTTATAATGCATATATTGTAATACATTGATTTATATAATCAGAACTAACGTATTATGACATGCTAATATATAAAAAGTATGTAGAAATGAAATGAGAAATACTGAGAATAAGTATAGATAGTCATAAAGATATACTAGGCGTGTAGAAGACAGGGACAATTTTGAAAATCTGAGGAAAATGAGAGTGATAGATTTTTTCTATGATTGCACATACTAAAAAAAATATAGGAAAAAGACACCACAAGCCTTACACTCATTTCTTGAGAAACCCCTTACAACACTTTTACTAGAAAGAGCTGAGTTGGCTCGTTGTATCCGTGTGTAGTGACTAACCAACAACTATTTATACTATGAAGACTTTAAGGGAGCTTAAGAGCAATAATTGTGAAATTATGATGGATGTGAAATTGTATAGAAATTGTATAATTATAATATAGGTATTGTAACATATTGATTAGTGTTGTTATGATATATGTATTGTAATACGTCCACAAGTGCGATTAGGATACATGTATTGTAACATATTGATTGATGTGATATAATACGTATACTATGACATATAAATCAATGTGAAAATGTATGTGATTTATTGTGATAATGACTCGTATGATCTGTGTGTTATTGTTAACTAATATATGTTAAGAATGTATTAGATAATATTTTCATTATTATGAAATTCTTCTGTCAAATAAGGGATTTAGTAGGGTGGAGAATACTCACCCTTACTAACTATTTTCAGGAAACGGATTACGAAGAAAATTAAAAAAGATTGACCTGATCTAAAGTCATATTCTTAGTGGGACTATAAGGAAGGATTGCTCAGTAGGGTTTAAAATAATTTGAAAAATTGTAATATTTTACTAGACTTATATTTTAAGTTGATTGAGATCTGTAAATATTTTAACTGTTAATTTTAAAATTTATAATAATTTGGTAAATTCTGTTGTAATTAATAATTTTGAAGTGTATCTATAACATTAGTGATTAGTTATTTTATGATAATTCAAAATCAGTTTTAGATGATAAAATTTATTCTCTTGAGAGGTGTTATTGATTGTTTTAGACTTATACACGTATGCAATGTAAATCATATAATTTGTTAGATGTAAACTTAAAATTTATTTTATTTATCACTTTGAAATCCCAAAAACTATTTCTTTGAAAATTTTAAACACTTTTAAATCTGATAAAATTTTATAAGAGAGATGTAAGTTTTGCTTTTATTCAATTCTTTAAGCTATAAAACAGAACAAAATTCTTCTATTTTCTCACAATCTCACAATCCATAGTTTCTTTTCCAATGAATGGTTCGATAGGTCAGACCAATGATAGAATTTACAGAAAAAGGAAAAAGAACTAGAATCTGTTATTCAAGAATAAAAATTTTGTGTGCAACGAGTACCCTAGAGCAAGCCCCTTAGAGAATCATCTTTGCCAATGGTTCTAACCAATTTCCAAAATCTCCCTCCTAACTAATTAAGGTGAATAATAGAAAATAACAAAATAAAGAGTCATACTCCATTAACTACTAACTAGATTGCTTTATTTTCTTAGAATAGACTATCCATGGTTTAGCTTTAACTAATGGAACATTATTTACAACAATATTAAAATTAGAGCAGAAATCACTTGACTTTAAGTCCTAACAATATCAAAATACATACTTATCACTATCCTCACCTAATAAGATAAGGTTTTGTTGTTGTTGTATATTGAAAAGTTTCTATGTATTACTTAGAAATTAAACATACACCATGTCTCAAACATTGACTAGTGATAAACTCTTAAAGCCACATTTCCAACGATATCTAAACAAAAGAACATAAAAGATGGGAAGACCAGAAACCACCTGTGGGATGACCAGTGGCAGTTTTGTTTTGTTTGTAGTAAATTATTTATAGATTAATTTGTACAAGGCTTGAGGGCATTGAAATTGCGAAAGAATTACTGATTAGATTCCTGTTAGAATTGAACATGAAATATCATTAAACCATTTATGTTAAGTCCATTGACACTCACATAACTAATTTAGCATTCTAGAATAACAACTGGATGTAAGAAAAATGACAAAAACTTGCTTCCAAATGAAAACATTAAACATCCATGAGGTTGTGATAAATTAAACACCATTAAATTAAGCATTTGAACGGGAAAGAATAGCACCAAAGATTGACACGCTGTAAATACGTTGAACCATTTTATTACTATTTTTTAGTATGTATAAAGATATCATCCAACCGATGAATAAAGACCAATTCTTTTGAGACATAAAAATCACCAAACTAAACTTTCTCTCTCCTAACAAAACCTTTTTCATAGACAGCCAAGAATTCAACAGTTTTATTATTAAATAGAGAAAAGGAAAGATATTTAAAACCCCATCATATTAATCATACTTAAAAACTAACATCCATTATCGAAAACTTGAGTCAGACCCAACCTTCTTAAGATCACTTTAAAATCCACATGAACAGTGTGTGCATGTTGCTGTCTTTTGAAACGTGTTATCATCACACTCTTTAATACTCTTAATTATTAACTAGAATTTATTAAAAATTACAAAATATAACTAATAATTATTAAATTAAGATGAGAACCATTAAATTAAGAGTAAATCACAAATACTTGTGTTTTTTTAATAAATTTCAACCAAGAATATGTTAGAAACAGTGTGTTAGTGAGTATTTGTTAACATTTCTCTTAAAATATATTGCTTGAGACAACTAATAATATCAGTAAATGAGAATTTTTGAGCTCGATATTACCCAGTGAATCCAGTAATAGATATACTTGTATTTTGAGCTTCCATCATATAGGGTTGTTTGGAAACAGTGAAAGGCATCAAAAGTGGAGGGATTGAGTCCTTAACTCATTCAGCTTGTGTCATACAAGGAATTAATGCTTCCATCCAAAATCATAATTTTTAATCTTACAATATTGAAGCTAAATTTATCAAAAATGATATTTAGAAAGAAAAGACAAGGGTTAGGATTTCAGAGCCAAACTCGTGGTGATAGAAGCATCGCCATCACTGTGGCCATCTAAACCTTCCACTAATCTCCTCTTGGCAGACTTGGTTCTATAACACCAGACCTCAAAAGCCTCGCTCAAGTCAGGATATCCAACTTCCCGGTTTTTGATCCAATCAGCCAAAATGTCTGCTTGATCATTTGATGGCAATGTCAATATCAATGATACAATTGCTCCCTCAATGGCCTGACACAAATCTTCATCCATTTTGTAAGGAAAACCAGTCTCCTCAGTAGCTTTTGAATCCAGCAAGGGCTTCATTTTTCGAACATATGGAAACCAGGTCTTTAGCAATTGCACTCGACATTGAGCTGGAACAATCACACTACCATAACCAACTGCTTCCAAAACTTTACATGCTACTTCTATCAGCTTCACTTTTAAGCCCCACATGACATGGTCAAGCTTCTTGTCTTCAATGATTCCCAAAATTTTACTAGAGATTGCAGCCCAATTAGAAACAAAATTCTTCATTAAATCCACCTTCGAAAGTACATTACACAACCATTCAAGATCGGATACCCTTTTCATTATCATGTTATATGCACTCTCAAGAAGGGTAGTGTCCAAAAGAAAGGAGGATAAATCCATTTCAAATGAATGAATGATATTGTAAACGCCCATTCTTACAACTGATTGCACTTCATCATCCGCCATGATGATTGTAGTATTGCCATCTTCTCCCAACATGTAGTCAACTTGCTCCTGAGCAGAGATTCGTAGCTCATCTCCAAATGGAAAACATGGTCCCTCAATAGACATGGCAAAGCGAACAGCTGAAATAAATATATCTTTTGTAGAACTTAAATCTACAGGTTTGATATTAGGTATTTTCGACATGACCATTTAACTGTTTCAATACCAAATTTAATTTGTAATCCCAGTGTTCATCCTGGAATGACCTCCAAGTTTAGAACCTATATGTTCTCATAGAGAAGAGGAATTTCTATGTAGGAATACAGACAATGACAGCAACCATAAAATTATACTCATTGCAATAGCTTTAACAAGTGACAACACGACTGCAGTCTGAGTCTCAAGTGCATGCCAAAGTCAGACACATAATGTGACCCAATGAAAAAATCTTTGAGAAGCCTGGTTTCATTTATAAGTGAGAATGGTGCAGGGGTAGTAACATTCAGATCCTCCTCCATATCCCAAGGTCACTGATTTTTCAGTAGTAGTCTCATGGCCATGTTTGCAAGGTAGATATATAACTGGAAATATTATGAACAAAACAAATCACACTTCAAGCAACAGAATATTTCATTTTCAAATAATCATGATACAGAAAATTATTAAATAGACATAAATTCCAGCAGGGTCCACAGGCATTCTCCAGACAGAAGATAACCCAGCAAGGTGATATATATATATAAACTTGTCTCCTGTCCACTGCAGCAAAATAGTTCACCAAAACCCAAGTATCTAGCTTAAACAAATTTTACCAAACACAATCACAGTGCTAGGAAATGGAGGGGGAACATGTGCACAGCCTATACATGCTAGAAATTTGGTTCTCAGCTGTACCAAGGAATCATAGGAAAGAAAGAAAGAAGTTGGTGGAACCCATCACTTCTTGTATTGTGGGCTCAAACTTGTTTCTTTCTCTTTCTAATTAATCTCAAGCAGTAACAAAAACAATGGGTGCACATCTATGGAGTAGATGTGGGGGTATGCAGAAGTGACTAGAAGGGGAACAAGCATCCATTCTCTTCCTATTGTCACCACCTGCTTCTCATATTCCTTTTGTAAGTGCCTTTACAATCACAACACCAACCAAGTCTTATCCCATTAGGTAAAGTTAGCTACATGGATCACACGATGTCAATGAACTCAGTCAGAAGCCAAATTCTCTTATATATTATATATCACCACTTTTGCGGCCTTTGAAGTGCAATAAACCCATACTCGTGCTAGTAATTAATCAATTGAATGTGACATGATCATTCCTTTTTCAAAATTCACTTTGAATAGATTCAGGTCAATCAATAATATTTCAAGGCCCAATTTGCATTAACTTCTCAGTAAGTATTTATGAGAGACAAAAAATAGGAAAGTAAAATGAATCAAACTTCTCCTATAAGTTAAAATAAACTTATGCTCTTTTTACCTTTTTAGAAGTTTTTTTAATTAACTTCTACAAAACATGAGGTGCATGAGTTTATTTTAACTTATGAGAAGATTTTTTTATTATTTTACTCCTTATTTTATTCTCCTACAAGCATTTCTGCATAAGTTTATAAATTATGCAGAAATGCTAAGCTTATCAAGCAGTACAAATAAATTAGGCTACTAATATACTTGGCTTCTTATATTCACTTACTCTATCACATAATCAACTCCTAATGTGGGTATAAGGCTAAGCTTTGCGGAGATTCTATGTTAGCTGGAAGAAACACAATAACCATTATCATTTTGGAATTAAAAACGTAGTACGCCATACATACATCAAGTTGATTTGAAGCCTCTGTTTACTATATGAAAGATTAGCGTGCAATCAGAAATCAATGCTTATTTCACGATAAGAAAGTTTATATAGACGGCATGAAATAAAAAGAAATAGTAACAGGAATCATAAGCTATATTTCAATGCAATCAAAATACATATCAAGTGGAAAGATGGAAAACAATAAGAAATCCAAGAAACCAAGGAATGGCCATTGTCAAATAAATCCAAAAGATCTGAAAAATTTAACTTTGCAGAACATAAATCCACAACACCACAGCCAAACCATCAGCATCATATAGAGACAGAAAGAAAAAAAAAATAAAAAAAACAAACTAAATAAGAGAGAGAGTAAAAAATAGGGAAGTAATTAAGAAAAAAAAAAGAAGAACCATTGCAATTACATCAAAAGAAAAAGCTGATTATCTTTGTGACAAAAGGGTGTTTTAACTATATCAAAAGTGGAGATCTTTACTTTGAAATCCTGCTATACACACACTGTCATAACCCCTTAAAGCAATTAGAAACCAAGACACAGAATTTACTTGCAATCCGTGGAACAGAGAAGGGATGTTGCTTGATTAGACTTTGTTCCTATCCACTCACTTCACCAGCTTCAAGGCCAGAGAAGAAAAGCCCTAACAATACTGCGTCGTTTGGCCCCGAGCTTTATCATAGGAAGATTGAAATCGCTGTTTATTTTCTTTTTTTTTAATTGTATTTGTATCTTATTTAGATTGTGTGTAATTTTGATCTCTTAATAATTTTGATTTAATTTTTTTAGGTTTATTTTTTTTAATAAATCAAGTACTTGTAATTTTAAAAGTAAGTAATTTCTTTTTGTACATGAATTTCTAGATAAAGAAAATTATTGGGTTTAAAGAGCATAAGAATTCAACATTAAAAGGGAGAGTATAAAAATTAATTAATGGTACCCATGCACATACTTTTTGGGTAACTATTTTTTGATCTCTATCTTCATACTTGTTAAGTGCCTAAATGGTATCCAAACTCATTACCTTCAATGCAGTTAATTAAACTACAATGTACACTCTATTTCCATTAATTAAAAAAACTTAATGTAGTATAAAATTACAATAAGTAAAAAAAATAAATACAATATTTTATCTAACAAATGCAAAAAATATTATATAAAGTTTCAATGTTAAGATATCAAGCTAAAATAATTTAAATTATAATATTTATTTAAAGTTAAAAATAAAATATTAAAACAAACTTCTAATGGAGTTCCTCTGTTGAGTTGCAAGTTTCGTAACAAAACTCTATATTACCACTTTTCAAGAAAAAATAAAAGTCAGCATTCTTGATAATATATATCAACTTAAACATTAATAATTTTTTCTAAAATATAAAATTAATTAATCCAACCGTAAGTTTAAAAATTATTTTTAAGTATATCAATTTTATAAAAATTACAAAAAAATAAAATAAATAAGTAGTTTATCGCCATACTTTATTTTAATGTGTAATATACTTTTAAAATATAAATAATATCAAAATTTAAATAATATTAATAAATATTTAAATTATTTAAAATTTAATATACATAATTACAAAAATAATATAAAATAAATAAAAAATTGAATTGGTTCAGCTTTCATTCTATGAAAAATTATTAAATAAAATAAATGTTTAAATTTAACATCCTATCAACAAATCTTGATTCATAAAAAATGATAAATATAAATAACTACATATTTTAAAGTCCAATTAATAAAATTAATTAAATTATTTTTCCTTTTCTTTAAAATAAGAGTAGAATTACTTTTATTAACTAACTAAATAACATGAAGTAGTTTTTAAATACTACATAAATAATTCAATATTTTTAAAAATATACTTAACATGGAAAAAATGATTATTCTATAGTATTTATAATATAGCATAACGATGCTGTACACAAGTTGTTTTTACTCCACATTGTATCTCGTACTGTAATGCAAAACCTAACATTTATATGCTAAAGATATTAAATTCAGAAAAAATAAAGTAAAAAAATAAAAATAGAATATTATAATATATATTATAAAATAATATATTAATATAAAATTACATATTATATAAGGTATAATTAATATCTATTATATGTGATATATATACATTATGCAGGCAAATAGTTATGGGTCGTACTCATATAATTTTAAGCATTTACTTATATTTGTGTTGAACCAGTTGAATAGGTAATTATTATATATATATTTCGAATACCCATCAAGTATTAATTATGTCTGTTACCATTCTTATTTTGAGGTTTAATTTCTTTTGTTAATCATGTTCTTTTAATTTAAAAATAAGTAAATTTGATGTATCATTTTTTAACTTAAAATTGACAATTTTAAAATTTTCATTAAAATTTTTTATAAATTGAATAATTTAATAATAAATAGTTTTTAAATACTATATAAATAATTTAATATTATTAAAATAATATTTTTAGTATATATTTAACATTAAAAATAATAATTCAATCGTATTGATAATATAACGTAACGATGCGATACCCAAATTGTTTTGAGTTCATGCTGTATCTCTTATTGTAATGCAAAGCCTAGCATTTACAGGCCATGTTGGGTGGGGTTAATATAACTTCTCCTTCGTTACTCAGTGGGTTTCACGGAGATAGCCACCTTAAAATAAGATGTTTGTTATATTACTTGTAAATTTTATATTATATTTTATACTATTATTTTTAACGTGATGATTATAATTTTATTATTATTTTAGAGATTAAAAAAAAATTATATTTATTTTAAATAAGTCACTAACTTCCATAATGTTTTCTTGATTTCCTTTTTTATAACAAAAAAGTTGATGAACTTCAATTGCAGACTAACAAGAAGCTTTTCGATTCCATCAAGCTGTTCTAAGAGTGCTACTTGCTTAATTAGGTATATATAAGTGGGAACATATATTTTACATCATGCATGCATATATTAGAATGAAACCCACAACATGCCACATGGTTCTCTATAAAGCCACTACTAGTTTTGCTAGGGGTTCGACATTCTTAGCCTATTAATTAAAGAAGATACAAGTATTTTTCTCTATAAAATTATTTATTTTTTTTCTTGGGTAAAAACAGAACAAAACTGAAGTAATGCGTAAAAGACAAAGAACAAATTAATGCATAAGAGTTAACCAAAATAATGAAGCGAAAGTAAATTAATGCACTGCCTTTGATCTATCTTTTAACTTAAGGTTGTGTTTATTCTAAAGGTCTGAAACAAATATTATTGCTTTCTTTAATCTTTTTTATAAGATAAATTTAAAATTCTTTTACAGTCCTTAATAAGAGTATGATAATAGAGTTTAATTTTAAATAAGCGTAAACTTACGATGATATAAATAATTTTTTAAAACCTAATACATTAATTAATTTTAATATTTTTTTATTCTATTGAAATAGTTTTATAAATATAGTAAACGACAAAACTTATTAAGAACAGCTTATCTATGAAGGGGTGGTGTCTATATTCAAAATTAAAGTGTTAAATTTATCAAAATAAAACTTTAGTTTAATTGATAAATAACATTAATAACACTTTAAGAAGAACGTATAAATTGGTTAAGCACACAAATTGAAGTATCAGAAAAGAAGTCCCTTTTGGCTTTGAATATGAAGCACTAGTAAAAAAGAATGTCTATAAATTATATTGATTTTGTAGCAAGCATCATACTTTGTCAAAAACGTGTCCACCGGGGTAGACTTTGAGGTGTTAGCATTGAATATCAAGCACTTGATGGAATTAATTGAGCATTCTTTAATAGGAAACTAATTGTTTTGTGGAATAATATAGTATTTATAGCATGCAATTCATACTCAGATGAGTTAACAAATAGAAATGGGATCAAGTTCAGCACCACTTTTGGTTAAGATATTGATATGCAGTGTTTGTATGGTTTTGTTAAATATGAATGGATCAAAAGGGTGTTTGGAGAAAGAAAGATTAGGTTTGTTGGAGATCAAAGACTACTTTGGCTCTAGTGATTACGGGCACATCGAAGTTCTTCCATCATGGGTTGATGATAAAGGGGCTAATTGTTGTGGGTGGGAACGTGTTCATTGCAATACTAAACGTGTCACGCATCTCATTCTTGAAGATCTTCCTGCATTGATTCAAACGCCTATGAATTTTTCGTTATTGCTTCCTTTTGAACAATTACAGTTTCTTGATTTCTCAGCTGTCTATTTTAATGGCTCCCTTGGAATTGAAGGTATGTACTTTAAAAGATATTTTTTTTTTGTTTTGTTTTGTTTAGTATGGACAGTATTCATATCAACTTATTTAATCACTTTAAAAATATGCATATGTCAATGTGCATTTATTTTAGGATAAATTGTACTTTATATTGATGTTTAAAGTGTATTTCCATCTCTTTTTATTTTAAAAATTAATTTTCTTTCTCTCTAGAAATAAAATGTTCTATCCTTTAACAAAGTTATAATGTAAAAAAGCCTCTTAATTAGCGTGGAAAGTAATTATTTATTTGGTTGAGGAGACATACAGGGATAAGAATAGGTAGAATTTGAGTGAAAAAAAATGGTAACAACTAAAATTAGGAATGTTTAAGTTAGTTGGTATGAAAGAAAGTGAAGAGGAAGAAAAATAAGATTTCTTTCAATTTATTTAGTAAAAAAAAAAAGTGAAAAGAAAGAAAATGCTTTTTAAATAAATAATTATATTCTTATAAAGAATGAGTTACATAATATAATATTAATGAAAATAAGTAGAGAAGGATGTGAATGGAAAACAAAAATGAAAAGCATCTCCGTCTACTTTCTTGGTTGATGTGATGAGGAAGAAAATTGTGTGACTGATTATTTCGTTCTACTCAATGTTCTTACTAAACCAAGCAAAAAAGATTACCATCTTCATCTCAATTCCTCTTCCAATACATTCTTCTTTTTATTAACCTTTTCACATTTTATTGATTGATAACTAATTTTAAATATCTTATTGTCGAATTAAAAGTTTTAGAATATGAAATTAAAATTTAAAATAAACAAGAGTTCAAATTAAACTAGTTACTAATAAGGAAAGAGAGAAATTAAGACTGTCTCTAAAATGGTCAATGACATTAAAATCGGTTACAGTATAATGCATTAATTTAAGTGTAAGGAAAAGAGAACAATTAATCATACAAAGTAAATATTGAAAGAATAATGTAATGAACAAAAGTTTGGTAGAGTATTTTAGGTATTTTTAGCATTATTATTCTTTAATCAAATTTGAGTTTTACTTCAATAATGTATGTCGATCTTTGATATCAATGTGTACCTTTAATGTCAACCTTTATTATACGCATTGTGGAAGTAAAACTCTAATTCTGATCAGAGAGCAACATTAAAAATACCTATGGTATTGCGCCTAACTTCTATCTTATTGTAATTTCCACATCAATTTTTCTATCATGTTCTCAAGGAAACACAATAAAAATCTATGTATAGTAAGTTTTTACTGAATATTATAAGATACCAGGTAATTTAATATATGGGTAACATTGAATGCTACACATTTAAATAAAAGCTTACTGTATAATGATTTCCTATTGTGTGTCTTTAGGCACACGTAAAAAAACTGTTTTAACATCTACGAGAGAGCAATTAATTATCCTTTATTTTATTGCCGAAAAACATAATATGGTCTCTTATAGAAGTTCTGTGAAACAAATTTTGACAGCACTATGTGGATTGAAGAATCTAGTTGAGTTGGACTTGAGCAAAAGTGATGTTGTTAGTTTACCTCAAAAGTGTCAGCAACTTAACAAGCCTTAGAGTACTTGATTTGTCATCAACTCTTATAAGTGGGAACATGCCTTCTTTCATCACAAGTCTGAAGTCACTTGAATACCTCTCTCTTGTTGATACTGAAATTGAAGGCTCTTTCTCCTTTAGTTTATTGGCAAACCATTCCAAACTTGAGGTTTTTAGGGTGTCATCCATGAGTGATAACTTCCATGTTGAAACTGAAAGTCCACCATGGCTCCCTACTTTTCAACTGAAGGCTATCCAACTTGAAAGATGCCATCTTAATGCACAACAAAACAGTTCCATTCCAAGTTTTCTTTTGTTCCAAAAGGAGTTAAGACTAGTTGACCTCTCTCACAATAACCTACAGGGAAACTTTCCCTCTTGGCTCTTCACTAACAACTCAAAGTTGGAGACCTTGCATTTGACAAATAACTCTTTTAATGGAACTTTACAATTGCCTACCTCCAAACATAGTTTACAAAGTCTACAAATTTCAAGCAACAAAATAGGTGGTCAACTCCCAGATAACATAGGTAACATCTTTAATAACCTGTTCCATGTAAATCTCAGTATGAACAATTTAGAAGGAACCCTTCCTTCTTCCATGGTTGAAATGCAAAGGGTACAAATATTGGACTTATCCCACAACAACTTCAGGGGAGAGCTTGCAAGAAATTTCTTCTCCAATTGGACTTCATTGATGTTGTTGAGTTTGTCTCACAACAATTTCAGTGGACAAGTAATTCCAAGGTTTGCCCAATCAGCAAAGTTGCAATTCTTGTTGTTGAATGACAACAACTTTACTGGAGAAATGTATGATGGGGTATTGCTAAAGTCTTCTTTACAAGCAATGGATATATCTGGCAACATGGTATCTGGGAGAATCCCCTCATGGATTGGCAACTTTTCATCACTTCAGCTACTTTCATTGTCGAAAAACATCTTAGAAGGTGAAATTCGCCTTCAGATATGTGGTCTAAAGAGCATTACATATTTGGATCTTTCAGAAAATGGTTTATCTGGGTCCATACCTTCTTGTATGGCTAATTTGACAATGCTAAAGTTCTGTCACTTGCAAAAGAATGCTCTCACTGGTTTGACATCAATTGGAATATATGCCTTGTACTCACTTGACCTAAGGGGCAACGAATTTTCTGGAGATGTTTCATCTTTTGTGGGCACTTTCATTGGTGAAGATGTAACAATTCTTCTATTGGGTGGGAATAAACTGAGTGGTAGCATTCCTCATAGATTGTGCAAATTCATGTCTCTAAGGATTATGGATCTTTCACGTAACAGACTAAATGGAAAAATACCTTCATGCCTTGGTAACATCTCATTTGCAATTGATCATGGTAATTGTGATGGTACACCTATTAGCAACAATTTTTGTTTTGGAGAAACTTTTAATGTTTGGTTCTTCTTTGAAACTGCCTTTACTTTATACAACTCCACTTTGATATTGTACAACAATTCTCTTGATGACTATTATGTGGTTAGAAAGCCAATCCCTACAGAGTTCAGAACAAAGAATAATGTGTTATCTTACACAGGCTATGTGCTAGAAAAGATGTCAGGTTTGGATTTGTCAAGTAATGAGTTAAGTGGCAACATTCCACATGAAATGGGAAACATAGTGAACCTCAATGCCTTGAACCTTTCACATAATTGCTTATCAGGATCTATACCAAGCAAGTTATCTAATCTTGTAAATGTGGAGAGCTTGGACCTTTCTTACAATAACTTGAGTGGTGAAATACCTCTTGATATGACCAAATTGAATTTTTTGGCAATCTTTAATGTCTCCTACAATAACTTGTCAGGTCTAACTCCTACCACTGGACAATTTGCCAACTTTGGGGAGGACAATTATAGAGGCAACCCAAATCTTTTTGGGTTTCCCAAAAGGAATTCTACTAGAATTTTCTCACCACCACCACCTCCTACAGAAATTCAAAGCAACGAAGGAGGAGAAAATCACCCACCCATTGAATTGGTTTCTTTCTTTTGGGGATTTGTTAGCTCTTATGTATTAACTGTCTTGAGTTTAGCCATAGTTCTATGGTTTAGTCCACGCTGGTGCAGAGCTTGGTTTTGGCTTGTGGATTTGTGCATATATTATTGTTGTTTATTCCATTTTAGAAATGGTTTCCGCTAATAAGCATCCAGCTACAAGAAGAAAAGTTTAGAATTTGAGCTAAGCTCCTATGTTTCTGTTTCTGTTTCTCTACATAACGTTATTTGTAACAAATTGTGTGAATTTGTATCCAATGAGCTTTAATGAATGAAAGTAGTTATATTAACCTCTTCAAGTTAATGTGTTGTGAATTTAAGGAGTTAAGAGATGTATATGAGGTATGTACAACTAGGATTTACACTATTGTACCTTAATCAGAAACTAAATCAACTTATACATTCTTTGCTTCATTGGTTTTCTTCTTCTTCTTTTTTTTTTGTGTAGTTTCATTCTTTTTTTTTTTTCCCGAACTGGACTTCCAATTTTCAAACAAAACTGAAAACTTTTCGCCTAAAAGGTCTAGAAAGAACTAACTTATTTGATACATTTCGAGGTTACTTTGATGGAAAAAACTAAGGTGCAGTACTTTTGGTAATGTTCACCGTACCAGGATTAAAGACTGATGCATATTAAAGCTTCTCATAACTCAGCATTATGTTCATTAAATGGATCAAGGTTGAACCAAACAGTTCTAAAGAGGTGGAACTTAATTGGAGAATAACACTAACATTGCCATTGGTTTGTCTCAATTTGATTGAAGATGAAACTTAATATAATTAGAAGAGTTAAACCAGTTACTAACTTTTTAACTAGTTTTTTTGACTCTCAAATGATTATTAATTACTAAATTCGCATTATTGGTTTGATTATCTAATTTTAAAATACTAGCATAAAATAATCTGTACCTGTTCTAAATCTATTTATAATTGCAAAAGAATTTCATTTAAAGCAAAAAATTCAAATATCAGTAAGATTCAATTAAAATTACTGATAAAATTATAAAATAGAAAGACATAAAGTAAAAATCATGTAAGGATGTGCTTAGTTATCCGGTGCTAAAATCTTTTGCTTTGCTCCCAGCGTCCATTAAGCTCTATTCTAACGAGAAACAAAACGTATCAAGTTTTTCTTATCATAAAAGAGTGATCTTATAATATGAAAAAAAAATTCTTCTTTTAATTAAATTTTCAAAATTTACATGATATTATTAAATTGTGTATGTAAACTAAAGTAAAAAAAATGCATAAATATTATGATAAATAAAATGCGTAGAGATAAACTTATTGTTGGTTGAAGAAATTTAAATATTAATTAAAATAATAAAAAGATCATTAATTCTTTTTTATTAGGAGAATAATTAAAAGGAAAAACAATAATAATTAATTTAATACGTCCCAAAATGTGGGTAGTTAAGCTACGATAACTATCATTTTTCCCAAAACAAAAAGAAATAACTTTGCTTAAAATCTGTCTTTAAAGTACCCCAATTAATATAAGAGAAAATGTTAAAAAAATACAAAAGGAAAATAGTATAGCTAAGTGGGAAAAAAATACAAAAGAATCTTGCGATTGCAACTATCCCTTTGAGCTTTGGTTGCATATAACTCTTCCCTAAACGACATCTCAAGACGAATGCTAGTCGAAGGATCTGTCCTCAAAATAAAGTTCGATTTGTTGAATGATGTCTGGAGGCAACTGGATCAAGATAGCAAGACCTGACAGAATAATTAATACAAAATTAGAAAATGTAGATGCAAACATAGTATTTTCTTTCCTAGCACAATATACTCTCTAACACATAACTTTAAAAATTACAAAAGTATAAGAGAGAAAAATTAACTTAGGAGTGAAAAATAGTGAAACTCATATTCTTTTTTAAGTTTTCAATAAATTTTAGTCAATAATTATGAGTGTGTTAAGGAGTGTGATGCTATCATCCTTTTTTCTAATAAATGGAATGGTGTCACTTAAATTTACCACAAAAAAGGGATGGTTAAGAGCTAAAATACAAAGTAAAAGGATTATTAGTGGTAGTGGTAGGGACATTGTTGTTAAACTTATAATATGAATGGAGGCATTGTATTCTATAAACCAATGGGCTGTACCAACAAAGTCTGTTACTTGTATGTGAAACTGAAAAATTATAATCTTTTTGTTGAACTAATTTGTGATTGATCCCATCTCAAAATCCATGAATTATATATAAAGGACAAAACTTAGGTGCATGCAATTCCTTAAGTGCTGTTGGTATTGTTTATTAATCAAAATTCGAGTTTTACCTTGGTAATATGTAATAACATTAAATAAAAATCTTTTATTAAAATAAAATTCTAATTTTAATTGATAAATATTAATAACAGCAACTAAAGATCAGCATATAGGTTTTGTCCTTATATAAAAAGGAAAAATGAAGATTTGTCTAGAAAAATCACAGATCATGTTTCCATCAGGACGGATTTTTTTTTTCTTTTTCTGATATGTTTACCTTCAATAACTTAATAGAGAGTAGACCACCAGCTATCACTAGAAAGATGGTGTTTTGTTAGTGTCTCTTCAATGTCTTCATCATGCTTCCCCTCTAGAACTTCCTGAAGTGTTGTCAGTGCATCCTTTATTTTATCAAGGAAATCTTTATTGTCTTTATTACTTGGACCTTGAAGGTGATGCTGTAATGAAGAAAGGGTAGCAGATATGGCAAACTGGGTAGCAGCAGTCCAGTGGGTAGAAGCTAACTGTTTCATATGTCTTTCCATTTCCTTTCTGCATTCATTAGAGTTGTTCTCTGTCCTTCCAAATACTAGGCTACATAAATACTGAGCATTTTCAGGTCCAGTACTTTGAACCATCTTGTAGAAAGCAGTTCCTTCATTTTGTAAGAGTTCCTCTGGGGAACTGTATTCAAGAACCTGGAAAGCATAGATCAAGATGAAACCTAATATTGAATCATCAATGTTGACTTCAGATCACTATTTGATTGGGATAAAAAAAAAACTCCTTGACTTAGAATGCTTAAACTCAATTTGATTTAAATATATTTTTAATCCTTAAATGAGACAGTCATTTTCAATTTGGTCTTTATACAAGAAACCTTTTCAATTTAGTCTCCATACATATAATTGTTAGCAAATTTTGGTCTGTCTATTATGACATTATGACATAGTCTACTGGAGTTGTAATACATTGAAGTATAGGGCTAAAGGGACCAAATTATAGACAGGTGTCATATGTAGCGACAAAACATAGTATATTTTCACCCTTATGCTGGACAATCATTATCAATTTGATCTTTATACTTCCAAGTAACTCCATGATAATCTTAAAATGTTATAAAGACAGTAGATGATGAGGATGACAGTCAAAATGAGAACTAAATTGAAAATTGTGGTATGGGGACCAAACTAAACTCAAGTGTCATGCATAGTGTGGAAAATATATTTTATGCAACTCAAATCTACATTGTTCTTCGTGTTATTATAGAACCATGATAATTGTTGTAGGTAGGCAATGTATTACACATTTGTAAATTTAGTTAATAGGACTTAATTACCCGGCCATCATCAAGAAACAGAATCCGATTGCAGTCAATAATTGTATTTAATCTGTGTGCAATGATGAGCATTGTGCAGGACTGAAATTCTTTTCGGATAGTTTTCTGTATGAGGGCATCAGTTCTAACATCTACAGCAGCAGTGGCTTCATCCAGGACCAGAAGCTTTGATCTTCGCAGCAATGCTCTAGCTAGGCTTAACAGTTGCCTCTGACCAACACTAAAATTGTCTCCTCCCTCTGAAACCTTAATTCAGTACAAAAGTTTATATTGTCACATTTCTTCTTTTGAATAAAATTCCCAAAAAAAAACAAACTCTATAAACAACCTATTAACACTCAACCAAAATTACAATGTTTTTAAAATTCAACCAGTCATTGAACAGGTCAAGGTACTAGTTCTTGGTTCATAGGTTTAATGATGGTCAAACCAGTAATAATTAAACATAATTTCTTTAATATTTTGTGTACCATCAAATAATAAATTAATTAAAAATTAAAAGAAATGAAGTTAAATAAAATTTTAAAATAATTATATTATGTATTATAAATTTTAAAAATAAAATCAGGGCATTAATTGACAAAAACCGTGGCATGAATTAATGGTGCGGATTTGGGTTTGAAACCCACTCTACAAATATTCTACTATTTTATAAAATACTAAACCAGCAGTTTTCTCCAGTTTCAGTGGTTCGCTGGTTCTATCTATGCTTAGCCAGTTGTAAGAGTTATTTGGAGAAGTCACATGGCTAGTTCCCAGTCTGACCGGTTGAATCAGCTGGTTTGGTCTGGTTTTCAAAACTAAGCAAAATTATCATTACTTACAACTATAGTTTAATTGAACTAAGATTGTCTGTAAAATTTACAACACAGTTTTGGTGATTGTTATAATATGTACAGAAACATGTTCCAATATCTTTAATCAACTTATGATTCATTTCTACATAATTAATAAACTACAAACTAAAAATCTTATTTTTAAATCAGGCCATCTAATTCAGAAAGTAAAACTACTAGATATTGTACATATGTTACTAACGGTAAGTATTTCTAATATTACATTCTTGGGTTTAAACATGTTTGCTAGCATGAAAAAACAAATTAAGGACACTTCCTATCCCTAAGGAAATTATAATCAATCACTGGTATTATGGATTTAACTTTATAAATATATGGTTAAAAACTCAAAAAAATAAAAATAAAAATTACATCATTGATACTTCAAATTAATATGAGCAGCCTCAATGATTATAACTACACCATAATCTTTGTACCTGAGCATCTAGACCAAACGAATTTCTTCTTATGACATCCTTCAAATGTGCCCTTTCTAAAGCTTCCCATAAGTCAGCATCATTATGTTCATTAAATGGATCAAGGTTGAATCGAACAGTTCCTAAAAGTAAAAATGTTAATTGTTAGAACTACAGTTTTATTGAAGTTGATAAACAATGCTTATTCATAAGTCACAACTAAATGAAGAAGTTGTGATAATGTCATAAGCCCTGTATTCTTATATGGCCAAGAAAGAGATCATTGTATTCTTGATTATTGAACTTCCATACGGCACTTTCTTACTGTGACAGTTATGTTAAAGTGAACAATACTTCGAATTCATTTCTAATCCGCTAACAGTTAATTAGCAGGTCTCATAATGGATAATAATTCGTTGTTTCCCAAGTTATTCCCCTATGAAAGAAAAGAAAGGTATCAATAACCAGGCTTATTTGGGTGTTAGAATAGAAATATTTCATGGATTTAATTTTGATCCACCATCAAAGATTGTTCTACACTATCATCCAGTCATTTATTGCTGCATTATTATAAGAGACTTTATGAGAACAATCACTTCAAAAGTGATCTGTTTTCTAAAAATTTGCTTCTACGTGATTGGGTGATAGTGTAGATACTTTTACCTTGACAATAAGGTTTCTAATCTCAGTTTGTATCATTTGATGAATCAGTGACATCTTAGTTTACATCACCTGCAATTGTGGTCTGGACTGGTCCACAGAGTGGCTTCATCACAATATAAAACATTGCTAACAACGGATCAAAGTTAAACTCATGTTTGATTATCTAAATTTGACATAGAACAAATTTTCATTTTGCGGTGCATACCGGAGAAAAGAACTGGTGATTGTGGTATGATAGTGAGAACACTTCGTAAGTCTGCTAGCCCAAATGTAGAAATATCATAACCATCAATAATGATCTTTCCGGTTTGCAGCTCCACAATCCGGAATAATGCATTAAGCATGCTAGACTTTCCTGCACCAGTTCTTCCAACTACCCCAATCTTCTCAGTTGGAGGAACTGTAAAGGAAAATCCATGCAGCACTGGAGGAAGTTCAGGCCTGTATCTCAGAACAACATCCTCAAACTCAATAGATCCTGATGTTGGCCATCCTGGTGGTGGACGGTTTGTCTCAATTACACCAGGAGCCTCAGTTTCTAAATTTATATATGTGTCAACACGCTCAACAGCATTTAAACTGTTTTCAGCTTTACTAGCTTGTCTGAGGAAACCACTCAAGAGAGTTGTTATATTCAAAGTATAACTGAGAAGTAGACCCATTGTAGATGCAAACATTGCCTGGTTTTCTGCTCTTCCATTCTGCACCACAGTAAATGTTGCTACCAACCAAATCATGAGGCCTCCTAATGTTTGTAGCCTTATAGTCAGCCAACGATTCAAACTAATATTCAGAAGATTAAATCTTATGTTGTCATCCATTAATTTTCCATTGACATGTGTCATCCTGTCATATGCTTTATATGCGCGAATGCTTGACAAACCATTAAGTGTTTCTCCAAAATGTGCATAAATAGGAGATCTCGTAATGGAATCCAAGCGCTTTATCTCTCGAGCTGTGCTCTGTCAAGCATGGTTTTAACAGAAAAAATCAACTCCTCAAACCATACCACTTTAGTGTCTATTAAAAAACAATAAACTCTGCTGCTGTTTGTTCTTTCCAGAAGGGAGTTTTCTATTGACAAAAATTCACTCGATCACCATTTTGACACATCTGCCAAAGTAGTTAGTAACTTGTATTTATTTTGCACTAACTTTTATTCCATGTCGATACATTTTCTTTCAGTTCAGAAGTTAATGTCAATAAAAATTTTCAGCACTATAGCAGTATTGCAAAAGCATAGAGAAGAGTAAGAAGTTGTGTGCATATGAATTAAGCCTTCATAATTGGAAGGAGGCTAACTGGGATAATGTTATTATTCAATTTCAAATATGAATTCTGAAAACTATAGACTGTATGCATCATGAAACATCTTTTCAGTGCATGTAGAAGAATTCAATCTCCAGATATGTGAAAGTTTTCCCTTGTAACCTTAGTATGTACAACAGAATACGAAAACTTCTAATGTTATGGATTTATGGTTAATTCTAATCAGCCCTAATTGATGGTGATGCTTAAGACCTGGACTTTGACCAAAGCAAAATCATTGAGTTTCATTGTAAATTGTTCTGAAAAAAATAGGACGTTTATATCATGTTTGTACTCACCCATTATTTAGTTATTGTTCATCTATCTCTTTATACAAATAAAAAGAGTAATTTGAGTAAACTGAATGTGTTAACTTTCGCATATTTTGGTCTTTAAGGAATTAATTGGTCTTGGAAAATGCCATTGTGTACTATTTGGTCCCTGAATATGATAATTTTTCTAACATTTACTCCCATTTTGATGAAATGTTTTGGGAGGGAAGGACCAAAACGTGTGTAAGATTAACACACTTGGGGAATAAATTTTACGAAGTGAAACTTTCAGGGATCAAAGATAAGCACTTTCAGGAATCAAATCGTGTATTTACTCTAAATAAAATTGAAACATCTTTATTTCTAGTTATCCAAAATTTCTAGAGAATCTATAATGAAAAAAGTAGATAAAACCAACATGGCATGTAAATATCTAATAAGACAGCTCTAAAACTAAGAACAAGATATAGAACACACCTGGTAATATATGTAAGCTGCATAAAAGAATATCAGAAGTGGCATTATGGCCCACAGGGATATGGTGCTCACAGTGCCTATAAGAGCAAATGTCGAAAGAATTTGCCAGAGTTGTCCCAAACACATATTCACCAAATTAAAAACATTGGTATCTATATCTCCCATGTCTTTTGCAAACCTATTAATTATGCGACCAACAGGATTAGTTTGGAAGAATAACATGGGAGCCCGGAGGATTTTTTCAAGCATTGCATCATGCAATCTTTTGGCAGCACGAAGACTTGAAATGATCAACCAATAAGAGTTTGCAAGTGCCACAAAAACCTGAATGCAGAAAAGGAAATATTCATTTCTTTTATCCTAAAATTGAAAAATGTACAGAAAGGTACCATATAGTAAGTCAGATAGCTTGTTGAAGGATCAGCTTTTCTTAACAGTAAAATATATTTTTAGTTAAGTTTTAGCTAAATTTGATTTTAAGCCTCCAATTTTTCTGTGTTTGTTCTAGTCCTTATAAATTTTAAAGCATTGTTTATTACTTGTCACCTAGGACTAGTTATTGATCTGGTATGGTTAGATGCATGTCCCATAATGACAAACCGATAATAGGGACAACTTATAAAAAATTATAATGACCAAAATCAACAAAAGAAAATTTTGGAGGACTAAAACCAAAATAAGTCATATCTAGTAGGATTAAAAATATATTTAAGCCTTTTCTTAAATAATGCCAATTCCTTACAAATAAGATGAAAGATGTAAAGTACAAAGTAGAAAGTTAAATATTGGATTTTGTAAGCATGTGAGAACTACAAAGATACAAATGTTAAATAGAAACTCATTTAACAATGACCTGTCCAAATGAGAAAAGTGCATAGATCAAAAGAAAATATCCCGGTTCATAATCAGCAGTGGAATCTTGAGATGTCCAAACACTTAACCATGTACTACTTGAAATTCGAAGAACTTCTGTTAATGTATAGCAAGCAAAGAGTATGAAAACTACCCACAGTCCTCCTAGAGCAGATTTGTACCTGAAAATTTGGATTTATAATTACAAGTTATAACTGAACTGGAGTATCTAAGTTCCTTCAAGCAGAAAAGAAATTGTGATGCAGGGCTAATGATCAGCATTGATAATCAAGTTAAACTAAACAGTACCTAAGCATTATTTATTTACTTATTTTGAAAAAAGAAAAATGTAATAAGAGAGGAAATGGTTCTGAACAAGAGGACAAGGAATCCTCCATAAGCAACAAAAAAGGAAAAAAAGAAAAAGAGCCAAAAGAAGAAAGAAAAGAGAAAAACCCCACATTTTGTCATTTAAAGAAGGGACTGTGTTCCTAATCCTGATCAAAAGAAAATCAAAATTATCTTATTCATACTTTCCTAATAAAATAACTCAAAGGAAAAAGATTCCTGTAATATCCACATCCAAATTACATGGCAATCATACCGTGTTATAACTTTCCAGCTAATCACCCCTGTCTCCCGCTCTTCTTGCTTAATCAGTACTGATTTTTGTAATTTTCCTTTCTTCTCATAGCTTGCATCATTTGGTAATTCCACAATTGCCTCATTCTTGAAGGGTAAATCATTAGCCTTGTCATGACTATCTCTCTCTTCATTACTGTCTGCTTGTTGTTCCATTTTCCCTGCATTTTCCATTAGTTTTTGAAATAGAAGCCCACTTTTTGATAGCTCCTCAAAGGTTCCCTGCTCCTTAATCATGCCTTCACTGACCAGAATGATTTTATCCACCTGAGGGAGAAAATGCAGTTGGTTGGTGACAAGAACCCTAGTTTTATCTCGCAATCCTTCCTTTATGCAATTCCTGAAAACCTGAAGGTTTCATTGCAGATCAGACTATATGAACTATGATCATATCTATTTTCAAATTTTAAAATGGTCAACAATTAATGGTAAGATGTGAAATTAAAACATTTATACTATAGAAGAAAGGAAAATCTAATATGGTTGAAAAGGCATTCCTTAAGTTAATTTCTTAATAATAAAAATCAGTTCAATTTGATTCTTGCTCATATCATATAAATGCATGAATGATACTTGTTAAGGATGGAAGTAATCTTTGAATTTGAACTGATGTAGATTGTAGACTACTAGCCTCTATAGATGGTAGTTATTCCATAACAAGGAGTTGTGTTTTAAAGCCTAAAAAGAATTTCAGAATGATACCTCTTGAGCAATATGAGCATCAAGAGCACTTAAAGGATCATCAAAAATATATACATCTGAATTTGAGTATACAGCCCTAGCTAAGGAAACTCTTTGTTTTTGTCCACCACTAATATTGACTCCTCTTTCTCCAATCTCGGTATAATCACGTCCCTGAGAAGATATAAATGAGATAAGTATAAAAATTGTTTCTATTATTTTAGAGAAGAAATAGAAAAGATGAAATTTTAAAAACAATCATACAGGTAGTAAGTTGAGATCATGCTGTAAAGCAGTGACATCAATGGTCTTCCAATATCTTTCTTTTTCAAATTTCGATCCAAACAATATATTTTCACGAACCTGAAAAAAGAAGGAATTCAGAATGATAAATGGTAGTATTAGAGTATCATGTAACATTCTAGAATTTTTTAGCTAACTCTGTCATTTAACAGCTTTGCCAACCTACGAAATCTGTTATTAGTTAGTTAGTTGTACCTAACAGGTTAGTCTTTGTTAGGTTATTTATTCCTATAAATAACAACAATTGTATCTCTTCAACCTATCAATGACAAAAATCTTTCACTGAATATCTCAGTTCCTCTCTCTCTGCATAATGTTTTCTAAAATGGGATAATAGAGCCTTTTTTTAAGTCCATGACTTCCTCACAAAACCCTGTCACTGCTGTCGCCTCAGTCACATTCTCCCCACCTATAATTTCCATGGTGAATGACACCAATTTCTTGCAATGGCACCAGCAAGTAAAGCCTTTATTGGTGGCCACAAGATCCATCACTTTATTGTTAATCTGAGCATTCCAGTGTGCTATATCTCTCGGAATGAAGATCCTGCTGAAAATATTGTAAAGCCAGCCTACATTAAATGTGATCAACAAGACTGTTCTAGTTGTTGGCTACTCACTACCCTCTCTGTTGTTGGTTGTCACCATTCATGGCAAGTATGGGAAGAAAATCACAATCATTTTCATGCCCTTAGTTGAGCCAAGATTACTCAGCTCATCAAGAAAGGCTCACACTCAATTTCTGATTTTCTTCTTCACATCAATCTATTGTTCATATTTTGGTTTTTGTTGGTGATACTGTTACAAACAGAGATAACATTGATACAATTCTTGGAGGTCTTCCTTCCAAATGTGTTTGAGGCTTTCATCACCACTGTTACCAGCTGACTGGACCCACTGACTGTAGCTGAAATTGAAACACTGATCATTGCCCAAGAAGAAAGAAGTTCTCCAAGAAAATCTTTTAAGTTAATGTTGCGTAATCTAACACCAACTCCCTCCTTGTGTTTCAGCTACCTGAAAACAATTCACATTTTTCTCAGCCAAGAAATAATTTCTCTGAGAACTATAACATATTTGGTTGTGGAGGTGGTCGCTCTGGGCATGGACGTTGATGTACCAATGGCAGATCTAGCCCAATGTCCTCTGTTCAATGTCAAATTTGCTATGAAATGGAGGATGATGCCTCTATTTGTTATCAATGCAGTGCATTCCACAATTTGGTTTTGGCTTCCCTTAACCTCAACATTGGCCCTTTCTGCAACCTCAATTTCCTATTCAAGGATCCTCAATGATGCCAAATTTCTATGGATTTCCTCAGTTCAGTAGTACCACAGGGTTCAATCCCTTTCTGCAGCATATCTCTGACAACAAAAGACAACCTAATTCTACAAAATCAGGACAAGTTCTTCTCACTGTTCAAGGGCCTGATTCTAATCAGTCCTGGTATCTTGACACCAGTGCCGTGCACCATGGCACATCTGATCCCAATAGTCCAATGCAAAGCACTCAACTCATAGGATCTGACCAAATTTTCATGGGCAATGGACAAGGTTTGTCCATCACTTCCATTGGGTCCTCAGATTTACAGTCACATCTCATACCTAAAAACATATTATTCTAAAAAATTTTCTTATCTTTATTCGGTTTGCCTATGATAACTGTTTTCTTTGAGTTTCACCCATCTTGTTGCTTTGTAAAACCCTAAGACATGTGATTCTCTGGGAGGGTATTAGGAAACTTGGGCTTAACTCACTCCCAAAAGTCACCTCATAGGAGGAGGACTACCCAAGCCCTTGTAAAGAGTATTCAGGCTTTATTCCTAACTAATACCATATTAAGGTGCGTGAAGCTTGTAGGATTGGGCATCTGCGAGTAACTCAATAGGGCTAGACATCTGTGGGCAGCTAAACATTTAAACTGGATAGGCTCTAATACCATATTAGGAAATTTGGGCTTAATTCACTTCCAAAAGCTAGCTTACAGGAGCAGGAGAGGACTACTCAAGCCCTTATAAGGAGTATTCTATCTCTATTCCTATCAATGTGAGACATCTTAATAGATGGGACTCTTGGACAAGATGGACCACACAAGTTCACTCATTCAACTGTTCCAAGTGCTGGTGCAGATCAATCTACAAGAGAATTTTCTGTTCCTCTCACTCACAATACAATCCTTAATCTTTTTCTATTTTCAAAATAGTTTGAACTACCTACCTCCTTCTACTATTGTAAACACTACTAGTCCTGTTAATACTTCTACGTCTTATTCTTTGTGGAATTGTAGACTTGGGCACCCTCATCATGAGGCCCTTAGACATATAATGAAACTGTATATTATCTCATTATGCAATAAAAGTCAATGAATCTTGCATTCATGTGTTTGGAAAAGGCCCACCGACTATCTTCCTCTGCATCCTCTGCGGTCTATTCAAAAGGCCCTCTATGGCCTTAAAAAAAGCACCCCATGCTTGGTTTGACTGACTTAGCTACGCTCTTTTTAATCTTGCCTTCTCAAACAGCAAATTTGATCCTTCTCAAAGGTAATATGGATGCAGATAAAGGGATCTCTACTGCCATGACAAGAGGCTGTAAATTAAGCAAACATGGTTCTGATTATATCTCTCATCCTACTATTACAAGTCAATAGTTTGTGCATTCCAATATCCAATATACCATCATCACCAGACCTAAAATAAGCTTTGCAGTAAACAAAGTCTGTCAGTTTCTCTCTTCTTACCTTGACTTGAAGAACATCAGAAGGTAGTTAACCCTTAGGTACCTTAAAGGCACTGTCCACCATGGTTTACTTTTCAGACCAGCTCCTACTTCTGGTTATCTACAACTGATAGCCTTTTGTGATACCACCTTGGTCCCCATCAGATGACAGAATATCTACCTCTAGGGTTTGCATTTTTATCGGTGCAAATTCTGATCAGCTGGTGGTTCAAGAAACAGACTCTGGTCACATGGTCTAGTACTGAAGTAGAGTGTCAAAGCTAAGACCAAGCACATGGACCTGGATATCTTTTCTTTCGTGAAAAGGTTCTAGATAGGAGTCTGCAAGTGCTCACATCCCGTCACATGATCAGTATGCAGATATTCTCACCAAAGCTCTCTCCCCTCTTAGGTTCACCACTTTAAGAGACAAACTCAATGTTGTTGACTACTTCTCTATAGTGAACCCATCTTGATTTTGCGGGGGAATAGTAAAGTATAATGTAACATTCAAGAATCTGTTAACTAACAAATTTACCAGTTAACTGAATCTGTTAGTAGTTACTTAGTTATACTAAACGGGTTAGCCTTAGGTTATTTATTCCTATAAATAACAATACTTGCATCTCTTCAATCTATCAATGATAATAATCTTTCAGAGTTCTCCTTTCTACTCTGAATATATCACTTGTCTCTGTTCTCTTCATAATGTTGTCTAGCAGGTTAAGTATTTGTTCACTTAAATTTAGTTCAGAAAAACACACAAATTTTTTAATCATAAACAAGTTGCAACTCACTGTGGCATTGTAAATCCATGAAATCTGAGGAACATAAGCAACTGTCCCTCTGATTGTGGCATTTCCATCAGCTAGAGGAGGTAGCTCTCCAATCATTGCTGAAATAAGTGATGTTTTGCCTTCTCCAGTACCGCCAATGATTGCAACTAAGCTTCCAATTGGTATTTCCACATTGATATTTGATAACGTGGGTTTCTCTGCCTGGCAATTGAATGTTTTTCATACAAAGTAAAGTGTGCACCACTAATATCAAAATTATAAAATGGATCAGAAAAAATGAAAATTGAATTTTATTTTATTTTTGCCTCAACTTAAGAACAAGGCCAATCATTAACATCACATTCACCAAAAGCAACAGCATGGTCATATAAAACCTACAAGAAATATTAATAATTCAATATCATTATTCCAGTTGACCAAGATTTGGCTTATATTGTAAGTTGAGAGGACGGTGGAAGAAGAGGGAAGCCTAATCAATGTAACATAATCTAAGATAGTACTATGTAGTATTTTTATAAAGCTAGTTGTTTTTTTTTTAAAACTTGGAAACTGTTTATTGATTAGGATTCTGGAACCTTTTGTTAGATTATTTTAATAATTTTATTATAGTGGCCTATGTAACTTATAGCATAACTCTAATTAATGATTTAATGTGATGGTGATTAAATATAAAATATAAAGTCATTGAGAGTATAATTGTAAATACAATTATAAGAAAACTCTCTCCTCTCCCTTCATATAAAATTAAAGAGCGGTTACCAAATAGGAGTTACGACATATGGTTTTATAGAGAACATTGTTAACCGGTATATCTATATGAAGGTCAGTGGGAGCAAATTTATCATTTTAGTCCTATGTTGATGACATTCTTGTTACTAATGATGTTGGGCTGTTGCATGATGTAAAGGAATTTCTCTCTAAGAACTTTGAGATGAAAGATATAGGTGAGGCTTCCTATGTGATTGGAATAGAAATATTTCGTAATAGATCACAAGGATTACTGGGATTGTCTCAGAAAAGCTACATCAACAAAGTATTAGAGAGATTCAAATGGAAAAGTGCTCATCAGAGGTAGTTCCAATTCAAAAGGGAGACAGGTTTGTGACTAATTAAAGCTAATTTGATTTAGGTTGGTTCTGTGATACTTGGAAGGAACGTCAAATGACTTGTGACTGCCATGATCCGATCAACTTAAATCATTAAAAGATGATGACTTGATATTATCAATGATATGCGCACTTATAGTTCATTGAATCTTCAAATCGTCACATAGGCCAAGTAGAAGATTATTAGATTGTTTTAATGAATCTTATTATAGTGGCCTATGTAACTTATACCATGACTCTAATTAATGCTTTAATGTGATAGTAGTTAAATATAAAATATAGAGTCCTTGAGGGTATAATTGTAAATACAATTATAAGGAAACCCTTCCCTCTCCCTTCATATAAAATTAAAGAGCGGTTGTCAAATAGGGGTTACGGTATTCTCTATTTTCACTTTCACGGTCTCTGAGGGATCTCACAGTAAACACAAGAAATGAATTTTCTCTCAACCATCCGAGAGGAGTTGAAAGAGGAAGGAAGAGTTGGAGAAAATATCAAAGGATCAACGACACCAAAGAGAGAGGTAACATCAAGGAATAATAGATTCAGGTTAGTGCTCTCTAAACCCTTAATTGTATGAGAATCACATATTGTGTTGTGAGAGCAACGTAATTCAAGATCATAAAAGGAAAAGGTAATTTTATAATAGTCGTTGCATAATAGAAATTACATAATGGATTAAAGAAAATTCTAACAACTTTTGTTGATTATTATTCTGCATAGCATATTACTAATGTTGCTAATAACTGTAACACTTAAGCATAGTCATATAAGATAGAAAGGGCCAATACCAAGGTCTAAATAGTAGGACAGGATAGTTTATCCTATCATATTAAAATTTCTGGTGTTTGTTGAACAAGAAGATATCATAGCTTATCATGTTGAGTTATTCTCTCCTATCATGTTGAGTTATTCTCTCCTATCCTCATTGTTCAAATTCTTATCTTGAGAAGAGTGACGATGATGGGTTAGGAAACATTAGAATAAAATAATTTTTTTTTTCTATTACCTTCCTACTCATACTTTATATCATTTTTAATATTTTATAAAAAATAATTATTTCAAAAATATAATTTTTATAAAAAATATTATATGAACATTTTCCAATAAAAAATATTTTTATAAAACAAGAATTTTCTCATTTTATAAAATATGATTTTAAATTTTTATAATTTATTTTTGTCTTAGTTATATTTTATAAAATATTTTATTACCAAAAGATAAATTTTAATCGTTAAAAAATTGAATAAAATTATTATTATTTAATATCAAAATTTTAATATTATATGTACATGAAAATATTTTTAATGTATATTTTTATCGAAAAGTTAAATAAAGTTCTTTTAAAAAATTATATTTGTTTTGATAAAAGAGTAGTTTTATTATTTAAATATAATTTACAACTTGTTTTATTTATTTATTGTTTATCTCAAACATTAAACGGGAGACAAAGTGATTTCATAAGACATAAATCTAGCCATATGTGCAAAGTAGATTGTGGAGAAATAGTGTAGCTTAAACATATCTGTGCTTTCTTATCTTGAAAATTGAAATGTAATAAAATGTGGAACTCCATACAAACACCAAACATAATTAAGACAGCTTTAACAAAATAGTGACTATGCACACAAGGATCATTGAAGAAAATACCTTAAGATCCCACGAAAAGTATCCATTCTTAATTGTGATGGCAGGAAGTCCTGGTTCAATAGGTGGATTTTGCTGTAAATTTCGCTCCTCTGCTAAGAGCAATTCCTCCAAACGTTGCAATGAGACATTTGCACTTGCTACCTGTCAGAAAAGACAATCATTACGGAATGATTTGATATTTCCAGCTAAAGTTATATTTTGACCTCAAAACAGTGAGGAAACAGTTATTACAATTTGAAGTGGTAAAAAAATTAAATATTATGGAGGAAAATTTTCCACTGGAAGTGGAATTTGTATAATGAACTAACTTAAATAAGAATACATATCCATTTCAAGTAATTATCGTTCCTTCATGGTAAATATTTTCATCAATAATTCGTTCTTAGTAATTCTCTCAAATCATTGTGAAAAACTATGCAACTATTATAATATTTTCTTTTATAAACAAACTATTAACTATATGTGACAAGGGACAATGACAACCTGACTTAGAAGGCTTGGTAGCATATTTAAAGGAAAACGCAAAACCGTAAACAGAGATAACGAGGTAAATGCCCTTGCAGGTGTCAATTCTCCGCCCAGTAAAGTAAAAATACCAAATGTGGTCACCGTCACAAGAACAGGGATGCTGTTTAGTATGAAAGTGTTAAGCTGCAACAGAAGAGAAATAGTCAGGAAGAAAGCCATAAATTTTCACAATCTAGGAGAATTTTACGCCACATATATTGTAGACAAAGATTCTAAGAAATTGTTTACTTATTTGGCACATGCATATATAGAAATAACTGGTTGCAGTTGCATGATAGAGGAGCATATCTCCACAAAACATGATCTGATACTAAATTTACGTTGATGCTTAAATTGTTTATATACAAGTGTTGTGGGTCCAGGGATATAATACAATGATAAATTTAAGGAAATAATACTAATATTACCCAAAGGAGGTATAGAAGCATAAAATTGAATAGTTATTATCTCAAAAAGCCATTTTTTTATATCAAGCAAGTGACCATTTCCTTGAAAACAATTTTATACTGATAGGATCATATATATTAATTTTGAATGTATTTATCAACCTTGTATACATACTGTATATAGTTACTCCAATTATTATAAACGAATAATCCAATGCTCTTAGTAGAGAATGCATGAAAGATTATTAATCTCAATTCAATTATCACCATGAGTCAGACCCTGGACCATGAAAACATTATTGAAATACTTAATTGTAAAATCATGTCAAGGCTCATACAGCATATAGGAGCTGTGCTTTGCGAAACCATGATAGCTCTTCATCTCGTATGCTTAGAATTCTAGATTGAAAGCTTGTTTCCCACGCATAACATCTGAATCATATCAGCATATTGCAAATACTGTTAAAACACAATCTGAGCTTAATGGTTGTAAGTGGACTATTTTAATGTGTTCATACTTTACAGTATCCATGGCAGCCAGAATTTCATTCATGAGACCGACCCTCTTGTCTGTCTGTTGTATTCCTTCTTTTGTCAGCTTTCGCATTTTGAAAATCACAAATGTCTGTTCTCAAAACAATAAAAATGATTATTTATTTATTCATTGAGAGAAACTTATAAAATAAAAGACAACAGTTATTATTTAGAAAATGAACAAAATACCAAATATATTATTTTCAACTTGTACTAAATTAAAAACTGTCAAACATTTTGCACTCTATTGAAAATAACTGAATTTCACCTTTATCATTAATAAGTATCATATTATATTTGTATGGTGATGTATTGTACAAAGAATATAAAGAGATAACAAGTCCTATAAGACAAGGGTTCTCTTAGGGTCCTTTCCTAAGTTCAGATATTTGTCTTTCATAAATGAAAACCATAATACATGTCTGCAAGCTATAAAAGCAGAGACAAAACTTGCCTGCAGTGGGATAATAAGAACTAGCATTAATGCTCCAATAAGTGAAGCAACACCTAGTTGCTGGTATAGGAGAACCATAGCTATGATGATACGGAATGGTGATGACCATAGTCCATGAAGTTGTTGACATATTTGCTGAACATTGTTGAGGAACATTTGCAATAAGTTTAGACCAAGGGAACATAGTACACTCTAAATCTTAATAATAAAATTTCAGCATATAAGTAGACATGGATGTTCGGTATAAGCAACAAATGAACCTGTAATGAACTGGCATCTGTTGTTATCATATTCATAAGCTTCCCAGATGTGAACTTCTTTCTACCATCATTTGTTAGCCTCAAAGATTTTCTAAATATAGCAGCCACCTATAATTAGAGAGGGTCACTTCATAGTAAATAAAATAATAAAATAAATTAGGAAAATCGAGTTTACTCAGAGTTGTCCAGAATGGATTAATAGGATAGTTGGACTCTTAAGAGAAGATATGTCCATACCAAACTTGATCTAAGCTGAAAACCAACACGCATAACATTCTGGAAATACTGTGCTTCACATAGAACACCAACTGTCTGAAAAGAGTTGAACGACTTGTTAATTGTTCTTTTCTTCCTGTTATTGAACGCTATAAAAAGTATGAAAAAGTTATGATATATACTCTATCATTCGTCATGCATTAAAGAAATTCATGTAAGTCACTTATTCAGGGGAAGTTCTAATTCTAATTTTTTCCATGGGAAAAATGATGGTTATAAAAAATAAAAAACAAGAGCAGAAATAATAATTTTGGATTAATTGTAACACACCATTTAATCATTTTGAGACATGCTAGATAAACTGATAGAACTTCCTCTTGTTATTAGAATTAAGCAAATTACAGGGATGATCCCTAAGTACAAGTAGTGAAAAGAAAACAATAGCAAGCAATCAACACAAATGATGATCCTATCCTATGACAGCAGCCACCCTGATTACCCCAAAAAATCCTCCTCCCCCTCTCCTCCTTTCAGCCCCCTCCAATATCCATTCCCGTATCTTTCTCCTCTCCCTTTTCTAGACACATATGCAGTTTGTTAAGGCCCTGCTTAACCATTTTCATTCCAGCATTCCCTATTTTGCCCTTCCTCCGCTGATATGTCTTCAGTGGAGGCCCTTTTTGTCCAGGCCCACAATACTTCCCCCAACGAGTTGCACCTTGTCCTCAAGGTGAAAATGGGGAAAAGCTGTCTGAAGTAACTCAAAGTACTCCTATGTTTTGTCCTCCTCTGGCAATCCTGCTCACTTAATGAGCACTTCCCAACTCCCATTTAACAACGGCCGAATTGCTCGCACTTCCTCTGGCTCGGCTTGTAATACCCACTCCTCTGTCAGAAAGGTGGAAGTATTTGACTAGGTTGATCAGTGGGATGGGCCCTTTTGAGATGTGAGACATGAAAAATTGGGTGCAGCTATGATGTCTCAGGCAACAGGAGTTTGTAAGCAACAACACCAATCTTTTCCAAGACCTTGAATGGGCCATAAAATCGGGGACTAAGCTTCTCATTCATACGCCTTGCCAATGATCTCAATTTATAGGGCTGAGCCTTTAAATAAACCATGTCTCCCACCTGAAATTCCACTTCCCGCCTGCCTTTGTTAGCCTGTTCTTTCATTCCTACTTGAGCCTTTATCAGATTTTGCTTCAATTGTTCTAAGACTTTGTCCCTCATCACTAGTAACTGGTCAACCTCATCAGCAACTGTACTGTTTCGATGGTGAGGGAGAATATTAGAGGGATCCCTACCATAAAATGCCTTGAAAGGGCTCATTTTTATAGAGACATTGAAGGAAGAGTTGAACCAAAACTCTCCCCAAGACAACCACTTGACCCATTGCTTTGGGTGGTCCCCAACAAAACATCTCAAGTAGGCCTCAATGGTTCAGTTGGTGACTTCTGTATGACCGTCGGTTTGGGGGTGGTAAGCGGAGCTGAATTTCAGTTTGGTGCCCGATTAGCAAAATAATTCCTGCCAAAATGTACTGAGAAAAATCCGATCTCTATCTGATACAATGGAATTAGGAAAACCATGAAGTCTAACAATCTCTTTCACAAAAACAGTAGCTACCTCTTTGGCCGAATAAGGATGAAGCAAGGGAAGGAAATGAGCATACTTACTTAGCCTGTCCACCACGACCATGATTGTATCAGCCCCTTTCGTCTTGGGTAAACCACCAATGAAATCCATGGAGATTTCTTCCCACACGTGATTTAGAATGGGTAATGGTTGGAGTAGTCTTGCTGGCTTAAATGTCTGAGACTTGTTTTGTTGACAAATGTGACAGGCCGCCACAAATTTCTCTACATCTTGCTTCATTCCATTCCAGCAAAATGCCATAGCCAGCCTTTTGTAGGTGGAGTCATTCCAGGATGATCTCCCCAAGGGGAGGAATGAAATTCCGCTAGTAACAGTGGCATTCTAGGGAAACTCCTGGGTAACACCAGCCACTGTTTGAACTAGAGGCATCCATTGGAGACAGAGTAATGTGGGTGGGAGGGTTGAGGATAGTTTCTTGCATAATCATCCTCAGTTGTTCATCCCCCAAAACTTCCTCAGCCAGCTCCACCAAATCGGAATTGGTGACCATAGAAATGGCATGACAATGCACTACCCTAGATAAGGTGTCTGCTGCCTTATTTTCAAGGCCAGGTTTATATTGGATTTCAAAATCGAACCCAAGCAACTTAGTTACCCATTTCAGTTGCTCTCCTACCAGGACCTTTTGCTCCAAGAGGAATTTTAGACTCCTCTAGTCCGTTCGGATAATAAAATGCTGACCCATCAAATATTGTCGCCACTTTTGCATCGCAAACACTATGGCCATGAGCTCCCGTTCATACACTGACTTCACTTTATTGCGGTCTGATAGGGCCTGACTAATAAAAGTAAAAGGTCGACCGTGCTGCATTAAGACTACCCCAATACCATATCCAAAAGCATCAATTTCTATCACGAAAGGTAAGTCAAACTGTGGCATAGCCAATGTGGGAAGACCCTCCATAGCTGACTTCAATTGCTCAAAAGCTTGCTGAGCTTCCTCTGACCACCCGAAATTGTTCTTCTTTAGGAGCTGTGTGAGGGGTTTAGCAATCACTCCGTACCGACGTACAAAACGGCGATAATACCCTGTCAAACCCAAGAATCCTCTCAGCCCCTTAATGTCCTTGGGAACGGGCCAGTTCCTCATTGCTGCAACCTTTGTTGGATCTGCTGATATGCCTTCTGCTGAGATGATATGCCCCAGGTACTCCAGCTGTCTTTCACCAAAGCTACACTTTTCCATTGACCCATAATTTGTTACTCCTCAGCACTTGAAAAACTACACATAAATGGTCAATATGCGAAAAATGGTCACGGCTGTATACTAAGATATCGTCAAAAAATACCAACACAAATTTACCCAGGTATGGCCTAAAAATGTGGTTCATAAGGGCCTGAAATGTCGAAGGAGCGTTCGTTAACCCAAAGAGCATCACCAAGTATTCATAGTGCCCTTCATGTGTCCAGAAAGCAGTTTTATGAATGTCTTCTTCCTTCATGCGAATCTGGTGGTATCCGAATTTGAGCTCAAGTTTGGAAAAGATAATTGCCCCTCCTAGCTCGTCCAGTAATTCTTCGATTATAGGAATGGGAAATTTATTTGGGATGGTGATGCTATTAAGAGCTCGGTAGTCCACGCAGAAACGCCAACTTCCATCTTTTTTCTTTACTAAAATCAGGGGACTAGAGTATGGGCTCGTACTGGGTCGGATCAGCCCCGCCATTAACATGTCCTTCACGAACTTTTCTATTTCTTCCTTGTGGTGGTGTGGGTGCCTATACAGACGGATGTTGGAGATTTGTGCTCCTTCCTTCAAAATAATGGCATGGTCACTCTCCCTCTTTGGGGGAAGGGAGGTCCCTTCCTTGAACACGTCGTCAAACTCCTTTAGTAATTCCTTCATTGTCTCTGGGGCTGCTTCCGACACTTGAGTGAATGAGTCAGTGCATCCAATGATCATCATACCCAATTCAACGTAATAAGCCTCTGCCTCGTTCCTCAGCTCCTTCTTTATAGCTTTTAACGACGCTACCGTTCGGGATAGCCCTACATCTCCTCTAATTTCAATAACATTCCCATCCTTGTGGACTTCAATCAGATGTTGTCGCAGATCCGCACTGAACTTGCCCAAGCTTTTGAGCCATTCGTATCCCAAAATAACGTCTACCCCTACTAGCCAAACAAAAAGAAATCTTGAATGACCTGTAGGTTGGGTAGGTCGAGCACCACATTTCTACAAACACCTTGACTCCTCAACCTTTGACCATTCCCCACCTCTACACAGTAGCCCCAAGTTGCTTTAGTAGGTATTTTCAATTCGTCAACTAGCCCTAGAGATAAGAAATTGTGAGAAGCACCGGAATCCACCATAACTATTACTCTCTTACCTAAAATGTTGCCCCATAGCTTCAGGGGATTTTTGGAAGTCATTCTCGCAATGCTACTTACATTCAATTGAAGATGCACCTCCTCTTCATCGCCTTCCACCGCCGCAGATTCTTCTAGGTCCACCTCGTCTTCTTCCAGTAATACGACGTGCAGTTGCTTGTTACGATAGACGTGGCCGCTCGCTGAGAACCGTTCATCATAACGGAAACATAGCCCTCTTCGCTGCTTCTCATTTTCCTCTTCTTCTGTTAAGCGTTTGAACCCTAGCCTCCTTCGATTTGAGCTAGATGCATAAGAGTCGCGTGGGCTTTGACGACTACCTTGGGTCTCCACCCTGTTCACCGTAGGACGCATTGGAGACGTGAACCTTAAAAGTGGAATGGGTTCATTCCTTCCAGCCCAACCCACTCTATTCGTTTTGGGGGTCCTCCTCTTAAAGCCCAACTCAATTTGAAATTAGTTGACCCATTGACTCTCACATTTAGCCCAAATGAAAGGCCCAATACCCGATTCTTCTCCTCCACCTTCTGTGCTAAGTCTATAACGGAGCAGAGGTCTCCAGTTTCTCGAAGGCGTACCTCCACCTTGATTTCTTCCTGGAGGCCATTAAGAAATGCTCCGATCATGAACTCCTCATCGGTGAAACGCAGTGGAGCTGAATACAACTCGAACTGCTCCCTATACTCAGTCACTGTTCCCCGTTGCCTCAAGCCCATCAACGACTCATGGATTCTCAGACGTAGACAAACGAAAGCGACCCAACAAAGCTTGCCGGAAAACCGGCCAGGTGGCCATCGGTGCTCGTGGTTCCCACCACTGGTACCAATTGAGTGCCTTCCCCTCTAGACACACCATAGTGGTGTCCACCTTCTCTACCTTTGGTATTTTGTTGACCTCAAAATACTGCTCCGCCCTGTAAACCCATCCATGTGGGTCGTCTCCTCCAAAGTAAGGTACCTCCACTCTCCTGACATGTTCCTCTCTTCTCCAAGTTTCTCCACCTCCATTACCTCCCTCTTGATTGTTATTTTCCCCTTCCCTTTCCTCACATTCTTCTCGCAACGTTGTCTCGAACCTTGCGGTCATCACCGATAGGACCTCATCCATTTGCCTCCGAAATTCTTCTTGGATGGCCGCTTGCATGCCTTCTAATCGCCATTCAACAAGCTCCAATCGATTCTCCATTCGCGTGGTGACCATTAGGCGCTCCCAAGATCGGGAGCTCTGATACCACCGATAGAACTTCCTCTTGTTATTAGAATTAAGCAAATTACAGGGATTTGAGTACAAGTAGCGAAAAGAAAACAATAGCAAGCAATCAACACAAATGATGATCCTATCCTGTGACAGCAGCCACCCTGATTACCCCCAAAAAATCCTCCTCCCCCTCTCCTCCTTTCAGCCCCCTCTAATATCCATTTCCAGGCTAGTTTCCCGTATCTTTCTCCTCTCCCTTTTCTAGATACGTATGTAGTTTGTTAAGGCTCTGCTTAACCATTTTCATTCCAGCATTCCCTATTTTGCCCTTCCTCTGCTGATATGTCTTCAATGGAGGCCCTTTTTGTCCAGGTCCATCATAAACATACAAAACAAAACTTTCCTATTTAATCCAAGATAATTGAAAAGTATGTACACATGCTATTCATATTCTATTGGACAAGGTATTGGAATGCAAGAAATTAGACAAGAAAAGTAGTGAGTGAAGCACATTCTAAGACTTTTGAAAGGTTCTATTCTATCAAGATCTTGGGATAAAGTGTGGTGAAAGAAGAATTTATAAAGTTGCCAAGAGTAGATAAAGAAAATCTAGAGATTTGAATCAAGTTAGATGTATTAAGGATGAAGAAGGAAAAATTTTGTCTTTGGATCAAGACATCTGTTATAAATAGCTATAATAGACGTATTAGGATTAAGGTTTATGTTAGTATTATAATAACAGGCTTGGCCCAATAAGGTTACATATGTATTCTTATAAATATAAGGGTTTCTACACATTGTAGAACATCGAATTCTAGCACACTAATCTGTCTCTCTCTTTGTGCTCTCTCTCTCTCTTAATTCTACATGATATCAAGAGTCTTCTAGGGTTCCTCCTTCATCGCCACCACTGCCGCTGCTACCGAAAAAAAAAAAAAAAAACAGCAGCTTCAGAAAAGGCCGACCATGGCTGCTATGGGGATGAAAATTTTTTCCAATGACCAAAATATGTAGTAATTTGACGTTTACAATTTGAATGTGGCGTTTCTTTCTAGCCACTGAGACGAATCTCAGGCAATTCCATCACTGTTTGTGGATATACAATATCTGAACGTGATATGCAGATATAGTAATTAGGCATGATGTGTAATTATAGTAATTAGGCCAGTAAAATAGCTTAATTACAACAGGATATCAGGATTACCTTTATTAAGGTAATAAACTATAATTAATATAAATTCTCTTGTACATGTATAAATTCAGACCCTTGGGTCATATGCAATACACAAAAAACACATTCAAAATATCAGATTCTATATGGTATCAGATTTGGGTTTCGATCTGACACTTATTTCTCGATTGCTACAGTAACCGTTGACTTTTCCTGCCATCTAAGGCTGCAACCAGGACAGTCTCCTCTCGGCGACCATCATTGACTTTTCACCGTCGCCACCCGCCGTCGCACGAACCCTCACGTGCCGCCATATTTCGCCTGCGCATCTCGTTTTTCAACGCTGTTTCTACTTGAGCGACCTTCTCTACCATTTTTCTATCTCCGTCAACCTCCCTGGTATATTCTTATAGCCTTTTTCCTCTCTTCTCCTTACTCTCGCAATGTTTACTTTCGAATGTGCTGTTGTGACATTCACCACTGTGCCTTTGATACCTTGTGAGAAACTCCTCAGGGCTCCCAATTATTCTTCTTGGGCAGTGGCTGTTGAACTTTAGTTCCAAGGACAAGGCCACTCTGACCATCTCACAACACAAGCTAAAGACATTGCTATGGACAAACAAGACCATTGGAAGCAAGTTGATGCCTCACTTTGCAGTGTTCTTTGGTTCTCCATTAATGCCAAACTGCAACAACAGTACTGTCCATTTAAAACCTGCTATGAGGTTTGGAATAAGGCCAAACGAGTTTATTCCAATCAAATTCACCGTCTCTATACGGTCATTGCCAACCTTATCTCCATCAAGAAACAAGACATGGATATGCAAAGTTACTTAGGTAACCTTGACAACTTGATGGCTGAATTTAATGATCTTATGCCATTTAATAGTAATGCTGAAAAATATGCCCAACAGCGGAGCAAATTCTTCATGGTGCTTGCTTTCCATGGCCTTCTTCCAGAACTTGACTCTGTTTGCAATCAGGTTCTTTCTAGTCCCACAGTACCATCATTTGATTCTATCTCTAAGCAGCTGCTACGCATGTCCACTCCTCAATCATTTGCGGCAACCCCACCTCTCACATCTCCTCTTGATTCCACTATACTCTTGCTGAACTCCTTTCCTCCTAGCGATCGTGGGAGGGGACATGGTAACACCTATTCTCGTTCGCGTCCTCGTTATGCCTACTGCAAACATTTTGGCCATCTTGAGGCTCAGTGTCGCACGAAGGCCAAAGCCCAGAATTCTAGTGTAAATCTTGCCCACATGCCATCTCCAGCCCCTACCATACCCTCTCATATTCCTGTGCCTACATTGGAATACCAGGACTATCTCCAATGCAAAGCCGCCATACAGTCAGATCCACCTACCAACCCCCACCCGCTCTACCGGTTGCCTCTGTAGCACAAACAGGTACTCTTGTTACCTGCATTTCCCAGTCTCCATCCCTTGGTCTTTGGGTTCTTGATTCTGACACCTCTAATCACATGTCTAGTAATGTTTCCCTTTTCTCACAACTCACTTATCTCGATTCTTTTCCTCTTGTCACTTTAGCTAATGGTTCTCAAACCAACATCATTGGCATTGGTAATACTACCCCTGTCCCAGGTCTCTCCTTAGAGTCAGTTTTATTTGTTCCAAATTGCCCCTTCAATCTCATTTCTGTCAGTAAACTTACTCGTTCGTCCACTTATTCAGTTCTTTTCACTATCATTAGAGAAACAATCTTATCCAAAGATATTTTTCATTTGATTCATTAATTCTAATGATTAATTGGCGGATCTCTTCACTAAATTCTTACGGGGGACTAATAACTACGTAATAGTGGGGACCATTAAGCCTTTCTCCCAGGTATGAAATGCCAGTAACAAGGCAAGTTCTTTCTCTTAGAGAGCTCACTTCTATCCTAGATAGTACAGATCAAAGTATTAGTTATATACATAATAAGTTTGATGCATATAATGTATATGAGCTTTAAGGAGGGTGTTGACATTAATGTAAATAAATAGTGTAATATTTATGATTTATTATTATAAATAAATAGCTCCACTTTGTATTTTAAACACAGATTAATCTTATCTCTTCTTGTTTCTCTCTTTCTCAACAACTAACATGAACTTATGGTGTGATAGTCAAAGTATAGCAAGAATTCACATTTCAACTAATTCATTATTTCATGAAAGGACTATGTATATAGAAGAGGATTGCCATTTATCTGTTATAGGGCCAGCATTGTGTAATTACTACAAAGCATGCTCAAACAGGAGAACAATGGTGATCATTTATATATACACCTACCAGTTGTGCACTACAATCTTCACATACTTCTTGTTCCATATTAACACATCCTAATATTTGCCTTGTGTTTATAGGCAATTAGGCATTTCAACTAGAAAAGAAAATTAGCCACAAATGATTTAGTTCCATATTAATGATGTTTTATCTATTGTTTTGTATGACTAGGATTAGAAAAATCATGGAAAGAAAGAAACAAAAAGAAAAACCTGACCTATATTTAAATGCACTAGGTTCACCAGAAACCAAATTTACTGGACCAATGCTTTTAAAATTGTAAGGGAAAGTATCCATACCACTCCAACAAAAATGGAGAAGGCGTAGATGTAACCTATCCAAGATGGGTCTCCTCTTTGCATTGACTGCCGTTTAGCACAAGAGTAACAAAGGATAATGTAGCCAGAATAAGCCTTAAACATACTCAGAAATGAAATCATAAAGTATATCAACAAAATATCATTTAAGAATGGGAAATTACAAGTATGTGTATGCATGTGTGTGACATATTAGGTACGATTGTAATTTGAGCTAATTTTGACATTTTAATGTTATATGAATGGTCAAGATTAGATTTAAGTAAGGCTAAAGTGACATGGCAGCAATGTTTTATTTGCAGGAAAATATGTAAATTGAGGTCAAATACCTCTGAACCAGGAAATCAATGTTTAAATAAAGCATCCTACGCATATAGGGTGAGTTTAGATGCAAGCTTTTTAGATAGCAAGTGTATAACTGGGTTTTGACTAAAAGAAGACTAAGAAATTAACTCTTTGAATAAAAAAGCCCAGGGATAGGTTTATGGGTACACAAGTCAAGTGATTGAAAATTGGTAGAGTTCTCCAATTTTTGCAAGACATTAATCTTCATTTTTATGCAAATTTTTCTGCTTAGTATTGAATGATATAATCTGAAAACTAGGCAAATGAACTGAAAAAAAAAATAAAAAAATTCTTGTGTGTCCATTTTTCTATATTGTCTCTATTCAATGTGTGCATAGCATTGCTCTCTGCTCTTAATTTTTTATTTTCATATCATCTCTAATTTGGATTTAAGGAGAAATAAACTTACATCTAAGAGATGGTTCAGCAAAATAGGGCCCACAAACTGAGAAAGATCATTACCAATCTGCAGAGATCATTAAAAACGTAATCACATGCCTTTTAATGTGCAATTTTTCTGCCTACTCTACACAGAATATATTTTTAAACATAAAGGATGTATCCATACATGATAAGTTAACCTCTAACGAGATTCTTGGTTAATAGAAAATTCAAAACAGGCCTCTAGCCAGGTAGATTGACTATCTCTAATCTCTATGCCCAAAGGGATTTTGCATGAGAGGCTGTTTTAGAGCTATAAAGCCATTCCTAGGTCTTCACCTAACAGTGTAGGATTTTGGTACTGTTAGTTCTTGACATGTAGCATTTATCATTCTTTCATTTGGTAAGAAAACTGACCTAAGCTTAACTAACTATGGTTTTATAAATTTAAATTATCTTATTTCAGTTTAAATTCTAGTAGATAATCCTCTCAGCCTACAATCAGAAGTAACTTGCAATGTGAAAACTTTTACTGATTCATTTGTAGCAAGTTAAAGATAAAAAAATGGGTCAAAATGTTCACCTTATAGATGCCTCCCCACCAAAACCTAACCAAACATTGAAGCCAAAAAGTAATAAAAAAAAAAAAATGAGACAACAATACTACTAAAGGCATCTTCAAGATTCCAAATGAAGATCAAACAATTAAGAGGGAAGATAAAATATCATGAAGGGATGTAAATATGCACCTTTTCCCTAGGCTATTGTTCAATGCTCTTAAAAGCCAAGGGTTGGGCCTTTGAAATTCGAACATCCAACACTCTTGGAACCTGCAGAAACCAAAAGTAGTTTAAATTATGTATATTTGATGTAAGAATTTCATGCAGAACCATACAGTAAGCCAGGAGAAATAGTGCAAACTTTTCAGTTAATGTCTCTGTTTGATCCCATGTGTCTAGCTTCCAAACATCCTTTTCAGTGACGGGTTTTCTGTAGCCTTGGCTCATGAGGGGACTAATCCATCCAAAGCATAATCCTTCAGAGAATACAGAAAACATTACTAGTAAATGAAGTTCCAGGGACAGAGACTGCCTAATTGCACAAAAAAATGAAGGCAACCAAAAGGTAAAATTAAAGTCATAGTCAGCAAAAGAAATTGTAAAGCTATGAATTGTCAATACTACTCACTAGAGAACACATTGGCATGCCTCTCAGGACAAACTTGATCTTCTCCACAAAGTGGTTCATATTCACCATGGACAGGAAACTCAGCTTGCATAGTTATATGGCCAGAATAAGGAACCAAATTGGGAATGTAAACAAAAAGTAAGGTACCAAACAACACCTACATCAGAAATGTAGCCTCAGTAAGTTTGTTGTGATTTATCTGAGCGACTCGATGATATAGCATCTTTGAATGTCCAGCTATTTCATGGCAGCCTAACTAACAAAACTGTAAGACATTAATCACTCTTCCATCCCAATGTGCATGAACTTATAAGTTGCTATTTATATCCCATGCTCTTCAGGACAACAGTTACTATCAATCTGTAAAATGTATCAGCCAACCATTTAAAATTTATATCCCAATTTTTAGTGGCCATTGCCCTCTAGCATGCCTCAGCCAGCAGCAAAAGCTACAGTTTTCAAACCCAAATATACAAACACTGTATTCACAAAGATTTTAAAGTATGAATTGGGTATGTATAATTTACAAGTACATATTACTCCAAATCCTTTGTGAATCGCATCAAGTTCTAAAGGGCTGTTACGCAAGGCAAATGATCATTTTTGGCCTAGGCTTATAATTTTCAATGTATGTGAAACTGGTAGCCAGCTTTAATGAAACAACACTGTTTTTAGTATTGCAATCTAGAATAGAAATAAAGGTATAATAAAGATTATTTTTAACTTCATTAAAAGAGAGGGAAATAAGAAATTTACCTGGCAGATAACAGGGCTGATGTACAGAAACAGGGCAAATCTGAAAATATGAAATCAAAGCATAAGAATGGTGCTGCATATACAATCAAGAATGAGTATAAATTTTCTTTTCTTCTGTTTCTTTTTATAGAAAAGACCAAACTTTGTTTCCTCTTCGCTTGTTTAGATGCCTATCCTAACCATTACACACTGAAAATCACAAACTTTTACACCGAACAACTGATATATTTTAATAGTTTGAAAAACAAAGTCTCACTTGTAAATTCAAATTCAAGTTTTTTCCATGCATATTTATCTCAAACTGGCACCCTATATTCCTTATCTTAATATTGTTCTCAGATCCAATTAAATTATCAAATAAAGCTGAGAAGAGAATATGCCAGTTAAACACTTAAAAGAATATTTTTCCTTAGAGAGAATATTAAAAAGATATAAATAAAGAGTATGAAATCGAATGTATTATTAACATAAAAGTAAAAAAACAAAAAACATGGTACAGACTCAAGAGTTAACCTGCTACAGTAATCTTTAGCTGACAAAAGAAGGTTAAGCATTACAATATCGCCCACCAAGACATAAATAACTCCAAACCGCACCATCCATCTAAATTTCCGGATATAAACCTTGGTTTCCAATAGAATGAGAATTATCATTGTGCTCCAAGTAAGTGCCTCAACTATCAAAGCTGTTATCTGCAAGAACACAAAAAAGTAAGAATTAGAACTGCACATCCCAACCAAATTGTACAAATTTTTCTACTGCAGCATGGCATACAATAACTCATCGGTATCACCAAATGAACTAAAGCCATCATCAAATATCAACTTTGATTAACAGAAGATACTGTGCATTCATGCAAAGGGATCTCATTGGAATATAGCAAGCATATCAGACTCACCTCAAAAGGAGCAAAGCCAGTTTCCCCATTCAGGTTGAAAGCTGAATTTCCAGTTAGAAATCTCAACAAAGGTTGAGCAGCACAACAACCAGCCAAAATTCCCAGAAGATAATTATAGTAATTTGAACTCAAACAAAGCCTTTGAGCTTTGGCATTGTAAATGGTAAGCCATATTCTATATAAGCACAGACCCATAAGAACCAAATTGGAAGTAGACACAACAAGAGTGTCAATTGCACAAGGTGTATATGACCCAAAAACACTATCTACCACTCTACCCCAAATGCGGTTTTGTGCTGGCTGGCAGTACCAAACCAATGGTTCAAAACCCATCGTGTCTCAAGCAGTTAACACAAACCTTCCACAGATTCCACCAATGATGCTTTAAAATCTCTTTTCCTAACACAAGAGGGAGTAACTGCAACAACAAACCACAAACACCTTCATACTAAAACAAGAAAAGAAAAGGGTAGGTGACGAGAACATGGGAAACACCCCCATTCTGTCCTTGACCATAAAAGAAAAACATCAAATAGAAGAGTGTGAGTGTGACTCCCACCTTTCTGGTTCACACAAGAAAACCCAGCATTAATGTTTATGTTAAATTTGAAAGAAGACCCGTCTTAGACTTTGCCCATTCAAAATGAAAACAACACTTGTTTTCGAGCTCTTTTACCAGTGAAGATACAATGAAAGAAACTAAAGCAAAAAGCCAACAGCAACTGACAGTTACAAAACAGAATAATTATGGGATATAGAACTTAACATTATTACATGCATGTTTTATCTTGAGTGAGTGATGGATATACAACATGTAAAACACGACAGAAAACGACGTTGGGAGTTCGAACCAAATCAGAATGAGACAAAACATTATGGGATATGAAAATTGGTTAATAACGTCACGGCTTACGGATTATAACCAATTATTTAATTAATTAAAATTGAAATAAAGATTCTCTCGTTTCATTATAATTTAAAAATATTTTAACAGGTTAAAATGAAATATTATAAAAAATTCATGTGTGTTCAATAATGACTAACTAATGAGTTTGAACATGGGACCGCATTCACAACCTCGTTGCGTCTACACCTAGTGTTAGTAGCCGTCCCCTAAATTTGTTTTCCTTCATATTCGAACTCCTTTAGCTAATGCCACTATAAAAGAAATTAACAAAACTACTTTTGGAGATTATTTTTTGTATTATTATCTTTTATTATTTGCATCGTTTTATTATTTTTTCAAATTTAATTTCTGAAATTGTTTTTAATATCTTTCAGAAATTTAATTTCAAAAATCATTTATAAACCACTTCTAAAATTTAACTTTAAAGTGATTTTATACTTTTTCAAATTTAAATTTTGGAGTTGATTAGACATCACATGCTTTAGTTAATATACTAGTTTTTTATTGTTATTTTCAGAATTTAATTTTTAAAATTATCTTTATTATCTTTAGAAATTTAATTTCATAAATCATTTATAAATTGTTTTTAAAACTAATTCTGGACCTTTCAAAAGTTATTTTAAAAAAAATATTTATAAATCATTTCTAATTATTAAATTGCAAAAATAAATTTTAAAAATTTTATGAATAACTTTTTAAATTAAATTAACACACATCAGTAGATTGAAAGATATTGAAAGTTATTTATTATAAAGTATTTATTAAATTAAAAAAAAAAATTTTATCAGATTCCTATATGAGATGTTACCTAATATGGTAGTAAATGTTCGACTTTAGATAACAACACAAAAAAAAAATTAAAAGTTGTAAAAATGAAAATATTTATATGAAATGAGCAGTCACACAATAAAAGATATGATAAAAAATTATTATATATAAAAATATTAAAGTAACAGTTATAGTAAAAAAAAATATGATAAAAAAAAATTAAAGTGATTTTCTTGTTTTTAAAATAAAAGTTTTCTATTAAAAAATTATTTTTAAAAGAATGGTTTTACCTCAGGTAAAAATTCTTCGCCGAAGCAAAAACAGAAAATTTTCACCTATACTATCGTTAAAGTGAGAAATTTGTCGCTCAAGCAAAAATTCGCAATAGAAATGGGTAGTTCTCTACCATAGTTTTGCGCAAGCGAAAATACTTTCAGTTGAGCAAAAATATTAGTAGAAGAGTAGCAATTTTTGTCTGATTTTCTCGTTCAACCAAGAATCCTCAAGAAAAAAAAAAGGGTATTTAAGTGATTTTGACTTTCTAAAAATACATATCTCAATCCAAAAAATCATTCTCATCTCTTTCTCTATTCCTCACTTTCCTTTCTCAAAGAAAACACCTTTGAATTCCAAATCTCTTTCGAATCTGAGCTTGAATATCTCTTCCTCTTGATTCTAAGGAGATTTTGGTCTTTTGGACAACATCTTCCATCGCAACCTTGTAGCTTTCCGTTGAATCTCAAAAAGAACTTGGTCTTAGAGATATCAACTTTCATCTCTCTATTGTGAAAGACCTATTTCCAGGTAAGAAGAGTTTATCTCAAACTCTAAGTTCTATTTTTATGTTTTAGCTTTAAAAATCCAAAATATCCTATTTTGAATAGTAGATCTAAAGTATTTTCTTGAAAGTGTAATGTTAAAAATGGATTTTTGGCACAAAAAACCTATGGTTTGATTTAAGAATCACATGAAACAGAAATTTATAGTAACAGTTACGATCAAACAATGCTTTAAGAAGTTTTATGATTAGGTTGTTGATTATCATCTATATGAATAATATATATATTGGAGAATGAAAATAGGAAATGATAAACTCTAGGATAGATGATTTTATCAAGACCGAGAGAGTATGATCTCTGGCAATATATTTTTAAATTATACGATTGGTTTGAGTCTGAAAGTGTCTGACCTTCAGTATATTGTATTGATTTGTATGATATGAATATTTGAGAATGAGAATTTTCGGTTGTTCGTATAAGATTGATGAAGAGTATTTGATTGTTCTTGAATGATGAAATGTATTTTATTATGTATAGTGAGTTAGACTAAGTCTAGATGTGTGTGACCTTAGACACATTTTATTTAACTGAATGAAAATGTATTATTAGTGAAATGTAACAAAAGAAATTGGTGTGAATATTTAAAAATTGTTGAAAAAGTATGACATTGATTGTGTGTGAAAGGGATTTATGAAAATGAAATTGATGTATGAGATTATGTATGTGGATTTGAAATTCTGTATGTCATTAAAAGAGAAAGAAAATGTGTGCTATGAAAGAGTGATGAAGATATTTGGAGTAAAAGAATTTAGAGCAAATTACTACTGTTAAGTTTCCATATGGATAAGTTTCAGTACAAAGATCAATGTTCAGTATTCATATGGAAAAGTTTCAGTGCAAATTGTCGTTGTAAAGTTTATGTATGGATAGTTACAAAGATACACTAGAGATATAGAATTTGAAGACAATTTGAAAAATTAGGAAAAATGTAGGGTGGTGATAGTATTTAGGATTGTGCACATCTGCTGACAGTGAATGCATCATAAGGCATCACACTCATTTTTGACTAAGCTTTTGACTATACTTTTACTACAGAATTGTATATCACACACGTATCCATGTGTGTTAGTCATTTGGCGACTATTCATGCTGGCTCCAACATGATTAGGAAAAGTATGTTGGCGGCGATTAGGGACCCGTGAATACAAGATGTACTAATAAATGATAGATCCAAAAGAATTGCGATGAATAATGTGGTGTGAACTCATGAGCTGTATAATTGTGTTTGGTTGAGTGTGAAATGTTATGTCTTGATGACTTTTGAAAGAAAAAAAATTTATGAATGAGTTATTATTATTATTATTAGTGTGTACTTCTATTCGATTAATGTTTATATGTAATTTAATTGTATGTTAAAAATAAGGATTTTGTAGGATAGAGGATACTCATCCTTACAAATATTTTCAAGTAATGAAAACGAAAAAAGAAAGAAAGTAAATCAGAATACTATGTTCGATGAAGATTGATCCGTTCTAGGATCATATATTCAGATGTGTTATAAGGATCTATTAGGATTTAAATTATGCTGAGGTTGTAATAATTTTTATTAAGCATAAATTAACAAGCCCAAAACAACACAACTAGCTGAGAAAATGAGCCAAAGAAGGAGGGCCCTATCTAAGTATGAAGTAGCTCTAGTAGACCCAAGGCCTAACATCAGCACATTTATTTCCTTCCCTTAGAATGTGCCTAAATCTAATGAAAGGGAAACATTTCAAAATATTCCTAATTGCAACAAACAAATTGAAATAAGGATGGTTACAAGTTTGAATATTCAACTCCAACTGCAAGGCATTCCTAGAATCTGATTCAATCTAAATTATTTGGATGTTATTTTGGGTTACCAATTGCAAACCATAGAATAGACCCCACAATTTAGACTCAAAGGGATTACAAAACTCAAGGCTTATGTAAAAACCCACACCAAGCTTCTCATTACAATCTCTAATTAATCCTCCACATCCAGCACTCACCATAGCCTGGGATTCAACATTCAATTTCATATGACCTTGGAAAGGGGGATACCATCTATTTTGAACATAGCCATCTTGCAGCTTCTTCATTGTTTCAGCCTTACCCTTGAAACAACAATTTAGATACTTAAATTCATAACAAATTTTATGATATAAATAACTAGTAGTAGTAACTAAACTATGAAAAATGACACAATTCCTTTCCTTCAATGAAAACTAGATTATCAAACCAAATAACCTATTCTAACTAGAAAAATTATTCAACTGAGAATTAGATAAATTATTAAGAAGCTAATTAGGTAACCCCATGCTAAAAAAAAGGCCCAATTGGGAGGTAATATGATGAAATTTCAGACTTGTTTGGCAGACCAACAGTCTCTAAGGACATGCATTATAAACTCAAGACCATTATCACATCTAGGACAAAGAGAGGAGCTAACCATATTTCTCATACATCTTTCTTCATTGGTCAACAATCTACCATAGGCCACCTTCCATAGAAAAAGAACAACCCTAGGAGAATCATCCCATTTCCAAACAGTTTTAAAAATTTTATGATTAAGAGAAGGTTGTTGGGTAAGAGAATTTACTAGACTATAAGCAGTTATTAAAGAGAATAGTCCATTACTAGAGGGATTCCAAAAAGCAAAATCCTGACCTCTACTCTTATAGGGGGTTTAACTTGGGTTATGTATTCACAAGTAAAGATAAAGAGATTGGTGTTGATCCTAGACTAGTCCCAGTTTTCCTGATCAGAGAAAAAGGCCATAGGAATTTCCATCTCCTCTTCAAGAATAGGCCTTACAATATAAGAACGCAGGTTTTGTATATTTGGGAGCCAATTATCCTCTCAGAATTTGGTCGATAAACCATCATCAACAACCTAACCCAAACCATGTATAAAGATATCCCAAACAACAGTTAGCTTTTTCCATAATTTCATATTATTTCTAGGGTGAGGTTTTTTTATTAAAACTAAATTTATACTTTTTATACAAAACCTGAGTCCACAACTCATTAAGAGATTTAACTAGTCTCCAAATTAACTTCATCATATAGGTTTTATTTAATAACGATAAGTACCTGAATCCCAACCCTCCCTCAGCCTTAGATTGATAGAT